GKKSYTTAAAAAATCTCTACGGATCGATCAATCTGGTCTAAAGGAATGAATTTGTTCAAGACCACCAACAATCAATCTAACCGCACAAGTACAAATATTATATTTCGTTATTAATCGTTAAGATGAAACCTTCTGCAAACCATCCATGATATTAAAAACATCAAAATCTTCTTGATGGATACTTACTTAAGACTTTTTTCTACCGTAGCTGTACGAAACACTTGTTCCTGATCTAAGCTTACAACACAGTACGAATTGCGACCGCTTCGCGGTTCTTTTCTTGGCAGCAGATTTTTTGCTTCACCTAAAAAGATCATCCATTAGAGCAAATAACTGATGTAAAATCACAGCTAAAGCTAGTCTTACCGATRCGTATTTTTAATGTTTCTTCCACTCTTACTTCTTGTTGCTTTTCACCGGCCGCCATGGCGGGCCATCTTTGTCATGTGACATGAATGGGTCAATCTCATTGGCTAATCCACGCTGCTGCAAAAACTGAGATGTTTCTGGAGTGCGCTTTGCTTTCAGTTTATACTTTCAATATACTAAGTATTCAAAAGACTTGCAGATATAGGACTTCCCTGTTGAGTAGTTTAGTAGTTTAGTTTTTTTTTTTTTTAGGATAATGGATAAATGGATAATGGGTATTCTATATCTGGTTCTTCGACATAGAAAACCAATATGACTACCTTCGTATGAAAACTCCGATGTAAAAAAAACAAATAAAAAAACAAATAAAAAAATAAAAAAAAACACTAAATCAATGAAAAGAGATAAGATAAAGCAATTAAACAAATGAACTTAAAAAGAAATAAACAAGAAGAAGAATGTTGATAAAAATGCCAAAAATAAATAAATAAATAAATAAATGATATAATATAAACTGGCACCTGAGGTGAATTCGATCCCGGTCGATACCTTCTGAAAGACAGCGCCTTAACGAGTTACGCCACAAGACCACGCTCATTTACATAATAATAGACCACTTGGCACTTTCACCGAATAGACTACCCCAATTTGACATTATATTTTCGATAGTTGCCTAGTTAGTGCAAGGGGTTATCCATCAGAGTCTAGGGGCCGGATAGCTTCTCCCTCACTGGCTTTTTAGTTAGCGCGAAGTTAGGACCAATTATCGGGATAGCATGGAAGAGCCGAAATCTCTAACCGTAATGTAAGTCGATTCGACGCCTCAGCTTCACAGAATGTCTCGGGGGAATCGTCCCAAYCTTTTTTCGATTTGTATGCCTTAGGTTCGAGTCCCATGACGGTCTTGTTTTTCTTTTTTCAAAATTTCTTTTTCATTGTTCGGTAATTTTCATAGACTTTTCCTTTTTCCTTCAACGAGTTATCGCATAATTATAATAAAATTCAATCGTTGATACCCGATGGTCTTTGATGTAAAGTTTGGTCACTATACTACTTGATTACCAAAACCATCACCATCCGCAGCTTTTGCATCAAAGGAAAAAACACGAAATACTGAATACACAGTGTATTCCCCCCCAAAAAAACTGATGCTGATCCCTGATCCCAAGACCTCGTTACTAGCCTGCCCCCTGCCTGGGACCGGGAGTCGCCAAGTAGGCCGGGTATCTGATGCATTACAGGCCCGTCTTACACATGGGAGGGTTCGTAGTCCTAGTGACCTAAATTGAATAATTCGTTCAATGCACAGCTATAGCTCTGTTTTCCATACTTTAAGGGACTGCGCAATATTTACCTTCTTTTGTTGAGAAGTTTTCCACTTCAATAAGTATTTGGCCAAAAAGCACAGAATTTGACACCGTTGATAGATTTTTCGAGTTTCCAATGAAAGTTCTAGTTAATTTTAGACGTGCGCCCTCTTTAAGCACATAAAATTTAGATTTTGCCCCGCCCCTCTGGATTCTCAACTCCCCTCCTGATAAGACCCTGATAAATATTACGCAATCCCTAATTCGAGACGCTCTACGAGCGCGCATACGGATTCACGGAGATTTTTTACATCATTCGTTTTTAATCCAAGAGGTTTCAATTTATATTTTGTAATGTGTATAAAACATTCAGTCCCTTGTCCATTTAGCCGTTGTTTCCTATTTCGTATTTCCCGCCTCCCACTCCTAATTTCCAAATGGTACGTCAAGGAGATCAAAAAGTAAGACACACTTTGATTCCAACGTTTTTATTGGCTATTTTTGCAAAATCGTAAAGAACTGGACTCTGCATAAATACAATTATATTCTCCTGATTGAGACAGAGCTGTTTAGTCAGATCTAATACTAATCGAGGCCAGTATTAATGCTTCTTTACGTATTTTATGTTCCAATATTCATTATATATCATAAGGAAATGCAAGTTTATAATTAACTAGATCACAGTGAACCATTGAGGCMTGTAAGTAGTTTGTATAGACAGAGAAAGGCCCCTGTTGAGCTSGAGSCCGATTYAGTTGAACACGCAATGCTACTYCAGAAAACGTTGAAGACTGAAAATAGTGTATTCCAAGACCTCAATGTATTGTTGGTAGTTCTATCACCGTTGAAAAGGACTTGCCGTGGTTATAAGACTGACAATACCAGCTCTGTACAGTCAACAACGTCATGTTTAGAATTGTAATTTCGTAAAGTAGCTACAATTGTAGCTTGGATTTTAAAAGCAACAATGCATTGAGATCTTGGAGTACACTATGCAGAATGCAGTATTCGGTATTCAATGTTTTCTGAAATAGAATAAAACTGCGTCGGTTCTCATCTGTCTGTTTTTTTGCTACTTGAAGCCCAATTCAAAAGTTAGTGAACYAAAGAAAAAAGTTTTAGCACTAATACAGTAATTACTATTTAAATGAATGTAATAGTTGTCTGTTAGTGATTTTTATTTAAATGTGACAGAGCAAATATTAGAAACTAAGTATTTCAAATGAAAATCTACTTCATTTAGTCCCAAAAGTGGTARGAGYGCTCGAGGAATTGCGAGTGCTTTGATCAGGTTGTCCCTAGTGGTGTAAAATTTTGACGTTTAAAGTTTTGSCTGATTTTCAAACCACATCGTAGTCAAAAAATCCTTATCTGAAAAGTACGGAAAATGTGCGTCAAACAAGCCTACCACTTTAGTGTGTCGGTTATCTAGTAGYTATGTTAGTGCATGACTGGAGTTTCCACCAAACATCCATGAAACAAACTATGAACTAGGTAGAGCATAAGACAGATTACATTACTATTACATAACATTGCAGTTCATTGTCAATTATGGAACGGTACAACACCTTACAAGGTTTGTTTCACGGGTTTTTGGCGTTTATTCCAACACATTTTGTTCGATTGTCAAGAACATTCAGTAAAACATGAAATGTGAATAACAAAATACTTTGTTTTCTATATTTTGTTTTATTTGAATTTTATAAACAGTCATCATTTCATCTCTTTCTGAAAGAACTCCAAGGTACTTACTCTAACAGATTTAATTATTATAGTTATTGTAATCAATTACATAAAGTAGCCTTACAATTTAGTGTTATTTYGTCGAGAGACGTGGCTAAACTTCAGACGGTTGTCGAGTTGAAAAAGGCAAWATCGACATCAAAGTCATTCCTATAAAACCTACAAGGCTTTCCGAAAGATAAATCGTATCTATAGGATGTTTCTTATTTAACTTGGATTTCACTCTGCAATTTGCTCAATTTCAAAAAAAAGTTCGTCTATTTTACCCAATAGGTTACAGTACAGTTAAGAGRCAAGCTTCTAAACCAGAAACATTGCTAGTATACTAGAGTCATGCCTTTTACAACTGGACAACCTTCTCTCGACTTTTGCTGTTAGTATGACAGTTKTAAGGCCACAAGGTTATCAATCATTGATAAGAAGCTGTCATACAAAAGAAAAACAAATCTATTTTTTTCTGTTCCAAGAAGAATGAAGCATAGCAGCTAGTAAAATATCCATGTGTGGGATTTTTTGTGTGCTTTCTAGGAAAGGATTGAGTTCTTAATACAGTGGTTAACCAGCTCAATTGTCGCATCACAGTACCATTTTAAATATGCTATTTTCTCAAAGTACTAGATTTTAATAACGAAATACACCTCTAACTCTAATATACTTAATAGAATTATTATTCTTTCTTTTTAAAATGTATCAAGATTGGTTAGGCGTGGTCTCCACCCTACCAAAACCCATCTATCGAAGGAATCTTGTTTTAAATAAATAATATAAAATAACATTTTACTTTAGTAATATAAAATAGCATATAGACTATACAACCTCTTTTACTTTCTCTCGTTTTCATATTATTGTAAATTATTTGTATTGAAATTGATGGTTTCTTACTATTTTATAGTTTAGAATAATATAATTTAAGAGTCTCACTTTCTGGATTTTCAGCCAATCAAGCAGACAGATCAACCAGTAGGGTTGTCTCTAAGAAGGCCTTCATAAAACAAATTGTGCAGAGCCCAATAAAAGAATGATATTTCTCTAAAGTCCTTTTTGATGAAAAACCTAGTTTTTTAATTCAACTATCTTGGATGTTAAGGAAGTTTAYATTCTTCCTCTAACCTATTTTGAGTATTTTGTTTTGCAGCCAGCTGGCAAAAGCCTGATAATTATCTACCTAATGTGCTATTGGTAGTATYATACAGCATGTTTGTACATAAAGAGTGCAGTACAAAAATAAGTTAATTTTGCTTTAAATTTCTTTGCTGTATTACAAGATTATTCAACCATCTTTTTATGGAAATTAATCCATTCATTAACCTTTAATACCTTTGAAAAACCTTGTAAAACACTTATCAATATTTATTGCATGTTAGAATTAAACATCATGACTTGAGGTTCGTCAATGCTTAGTGGTTGGGAACTGGCTCCAAATAAGCCAATTCAATGAAAAAGTCAGCTAGAAAAGCAAGCCAAAGAGCCTGAGGTATGCAAACAGCACTATTCTAATAGCAAAATGTAGAAGTATTATAAGGTGAAAATGATTCTTGATGACTACATCATGGTAGTTTTGAATCCATTAAGGTAATCAGACTCTAGGATTGAATACTAATCAAAATTGTGACAGACTAGCCTCAYGACATAACTTTGATTGTCAATGAAGATCATCCAATTATTGTGCTTTATTATTTTGTAGATTCTTGTGACTCAGGCATTATCACAAACTTCATGTTATTGTATACTTAGGATTTTTAGTCAAACCCAGAGTCCTGATTTGATCCAAGGCTACAWAGTGGAARGTTTTACACTGACACTCCAAGTATTCACTWTGTCTAATGACCTAACAGTTTCTACTGTCGACATATAAGACAACGCTGCAATTATATAGCTATATTCACAAAATGTTACAATATTTTCAGTGGTGCATAAGGCCACACATTCAAATAAATTGAAATATAATGGTGAATATCAGAGATCTGCATAAGAATGCTTTACATTGTCTAGTGGTGCCTAATGTGTATATTATATATATATATGGCTTTATATAAGTTTTCTTATATTCTGTACAAAGACATTCTGTGAACTACTTAGAGTTTTGCATATTATTTTTGCAATGCCAAAACATGCATCTCAACCTCCACGATGGTGCTACACTAAAGACTAAGTGCTGATTAGCATTTAATGTCATCAAAAATATATCTCATTCCATGTGAAACATCTGTTCTGAGTTCKTTTCCACAATATACAGTCATCATGCTAAAGGACCTTATGTCTTGAATGTGTAGGCACCCTAATCTATATCATTGTCAGTGTTGCAAGGTGCATCACATCTGCATTTATCTCATTTTCCCTCATTCTTTCAATTTCATTTCTCATTTTTCTCCTCAGCAAGGGCCAATGCTTAATTAAGTTTACATAGTGTTGATAATAGAAGATAATCATATACTTAATAATTTTAGATTACAGTTTTAAATAATTGAATTTTCTTAGCTGTTTAGCTTGTTGTGTGGTGTAAGAAAAGACAATATCATGCATTCAAGAAGTTTTCATTTTCTCTCAATTTGATTGTTAAAAAATWATCAAATCAACAGAGTAGATTTCCGCTGTGAGTAAAAATACTAACAATATCTTCCTGTTGCGTTTGTGSTGTAGTTGTRATCTTTTCTTAACTCAAGTATCAATACAAGGCATGGTTCAATGACTTTGTATTGTGTTGTACATGCTGTGATCTGTGGCACAGTCAAAGGAAATCTGACCARCAACCAGTATATATTTAGCTTTAGATATTGATCTGGAGGTGAGTTGTATGAATGATGGTTTAAGTCATCCACACAATGGAAATTATTTGGATGTTAWCCAATGGATAAGTGAGATAAGGATTTATCAAGTGGATATTCACCATTCATACAAGTGACSTGGTTAAACATTATAATGTATATATTAATTAAGCATTCCCTCTAACATCCTTCCTGTCTTTGTACTGTTCTTGTGTTTTTCTTTACCTTTATTCAAGTTGTTGATGACGGACTCTTGTGATAATATTTGCAATTAGGCCTTGTACATTTTCCTTTGTTAGCATCTCGGCATATAGTAACACGTCCATCAATTATTTCTACATTTTCTGAAGAAATGAAATCACCAGTTGTCATAATGTGGAAATTGAGAGCAAAGCACTTATTTCGAAACACCCATGTTTTGAAGTCCTTAGAAATGAAAATTTGAGCTGCTCGAGATTTTCTTCCAGGAAAAATMTTATATTATTGAAAGAGATTGATAAAAAACACCAAGTTCATCATCAAAAGTCACTGTATGGGATGGCGATCAAATGTTTTAGCTTTGTTCTCTATATATAAATTAGTTTTTTCTCTCCCATTCAAATACAATCCCTCAATTTTTACCTAGAGAAAGATTGCTTTCATCAATACAATCAATAAACTTTGACCTAAAACTAGTAAAACTTGAAAGTTATCTGGTCCTGTGTCCAAAGTGAAGCCTGCCTTCCAAGAGCCAGTGCTGTCAGCAGCTAGCGGCGGCAGCAGCATGTAAGTCTTACATAAATGATCATTTTAACAATATTTGTGAAAGAAAAAGATTTATAAAGAACATGTAGCCTGGTTACTAAAATAAAAGATTTATGACAGTCATTAGCATCTTATAAGAAAAACTAAAAAAGAAATATGTTAAAAGTTRACAAAATATTTTGATTTTGGGCTTAAATGAAACTTAACAATGTTACTTAAATGACAGCTCTGTGACATTTATCATTTAACATATATTTATACTCAGAGAGGATCAGAAACTATTTCTCTTTATTTATAAAAAATATTACACTTAATACCTTGAAAATCTTAGTGATCAATGAAGTCAATATCAAGAGCAATTCAGATATCTTTCTTAAAAAGACCAAAAATGCATGGGTGTCTCGGTAAGCAATATATGATCAGTTTGTGTGCAAATGATGACTCTGTAGACCCTGGTAAAACAGGTTTAACAGGCTAAACTAGTTCAATATGGAGCTCTGCTGTAACAGTTTAGAGATATTTTAATTCGGAGGAAGAAGGAAAATCATTTTACTGGAATGTATTTTATAAGTCTCTACTYAATTCATCATTTACAGGAAAGCAAGCAAAAGCAGAAGCAAGCTTAAAGCAATGTTTATTCAGCATATCACTCCAAGGTAAAACACATGTCAATCACTGGAATTTTGTATTCATCATAATTATTGCGAGACATCTCTAATCATCTTAAAAGTAAAATKCATAAGTCAAAATAGTTGAAGTAATGTGTTGATTCCTTGGAAGTGGTATAACCAGACTGCAAAGCAATATGGTGGCATGAATGTCAAGCAGCAARAAGCAATAACTTTGTGTCATGTTACCCACATCACATTCTCAAGTAATTCTTTCAACTTTGTTATCTACTTTTTATAACAGTTTTGTTAGTTTTGTTCTCTTTGTAAACACGACAGTAAAATTGATTGAAACATTACATAAATGAATTGATTTGAAGTCCAGGAAACTGAAGACAGCTGAGTGTAAAAGGACAATAGTTGCACATTCACAAATCATTGAGAAGTAATCACGGTTTGAGTATTGTTCCATGTGTGTTTTCTGCTGCTTCTACGTGATATGTCCAGTTAAAATGAGAATTGAATGTGGGTAACAAAAGCTTTATGCAAATAGCAAAAAGTAGAAAAAAGTGCTCACTGTCTGTTATATGGGCATAACGACAGGCTTCCCTGTGACACTGGCCAGAGCTAAAGTCCCGACAAACTGGTAACTGAGCTGACTGCTGTAGAAATAAACAAAAAATAAGAAAACATTTAGAATCAGATATATCATATCATCAACTACAATATCCTGAAATTCAAYATTATAGCAAATGTAAAGTTCTTTTAAAGAAAAATGAAAAAGTTAGTTAAGTCACTAAAATTCCTGAAAAACAATTCACTGAAATACAGAAATATCAGGTGTTTCATTGCATCAAAAATAAACCTGGAAATTGGGATGAACTTGGTGATAATAAACATGGAAAGTATAATACAATTATTGTCATTAAGAGAATCACAAGACACTTGTTCATTTAAATTCTCATTGAAATTCAAGTGACTCAAAATYGAATTGAACGATAAATAAGAAATATTATACATCTTTATAAAAAGATTAATTTTGCATCTAAATACACTTGATATAACCTGTCACTTCAATTTCAATTTKTGAGAACATTTTTATTGCTCAAACTGTTCAAATACAAAAGTTTTTTTTTTTGTAATAAAATTAATGGATACAGCAATTTCATGACTGATAATATTTATGAAATATACATAACAGCTTAAATCTTTTTACTTCTCTTAAAAAGAAGTTATTATTATAATTACGTATTTATAATAGAAAARTGTTCCACTATCATGGCTGGTGTAAATGAAAAAGGTTTTCAAAATAAGTGTATTAAACRGCAGTTTTTTCCCAAAATTGATAGTCCCAATACACATGAAGCTGGATAATTTTAGCATCAGACATTTATACTGGTATTCAAGGAATATGGTTTCCAAGTAACCAACTATTTCCAGAATTTTTTTTGAAATCAGTCTCTTCAGGGTAGAAAATGTTTGAAAACTACCTAAATAAGGATAAGCACAGACTCTCCCCCCTCAACAAAGGAAGGCCTTAAAGGTCTTAAAGTTTGCTGGAACAAAGGAAGGTATTGATAGCATATATGCTGATGTTTTATTACTCCCTTTCAAATAAACAAGCCATGATGCAGATCAGCATAGTAAACCCAAGAATATGCTGAACAAGCTATTTCATACTTGTGATATTATTAGGTTTACTGATGCTATTACATAATAGTATAATAATTAGTGTGATAATTACTTTTACAGTAATAATGGATTGTAGATTGCTGGCTTGGTGTAATCATTGAAAGCAATATTGAAAGATCAAGTCCCATAACATTTTTCTTAAAACAGACACAATATCTTGACAATAGTAACAAGAGATTTCCAGTAATAATGGCATATATTGGTTTTATGTTGCTGATTCTAATTGGAATAGTGACAGGACCAACAACATTTTCAACTAGGTTAGACACACAATGCATTCTGACATTGGTGTACTAAAAGCATACACACTATACCAGGGGAATAATACAAGTCCTCAATTAAACTTTAGTCCATTTTACACCAAGGCAACAATGAAATTGCTGTAGGTTATACTTTTAGTCTAACATTGCATAAATAAATTAATTTTATTGTGATAATAATTGACATTCTTTCCCTCATGTTAGATGTACATTGATGTACAATATTTTATACAAAACTCTAATGAATATTTTAAATTAAAATAGTGTACAGACTGTGAGTATAATAAATAAGTGAACCATTTTCTTGTGTAGAAATTTTCTCTTCTAGCAGTATATGTTTATACTACCATTCATAATCATTCTTTCACTTTGTGATAATAATATTTTCATGTTGTGTTATTTATCTTATCCTGCATCATGTTTTAGGAATTGCGTAGATAAATTATGTCAGTCAGAAGGTGTGCAAAAATCTGTCAGCATTATATTTGGTCACTATTACTGAATGAAATCTGGTTTCCAAATAGTAACAAAATATCTATAGAATACCATAAAAGATATCCATGTCACTTCAACAAGGGATTGAAGATATAACATTTATGTACCTGATGACGACATCAAGTTTAATGGCTAATTTATAACCTGACTGTTGGACATAACTTATCTAGTTATTCCTCAAGCATTTTGATATCGAGTTCAAATTCTTATTTTATTCTAGATTATTTCATTTATATTAATTTATTAGAAACTTAATTAAGCATTGGAGCCTAAACATAACAAGTTAATCAGGGAAATCATTGGTATTTGTTAATAAACAACATTGATTGTACAACAGATTATGTTAAGGCTCCACTATGACTATATTATATATCCTGCGAAGGTTCACTTAATCTAGTTTACCTTAGGCACATTTGTAGATATTGTAAGTTGCATATTTTATTGAGATAAGTTAACAATTGAAGGTTTTGTCCATTTTGTTTTGTCTTTGTTTCATTTTTAGAAACATTTCAGGTGATTTTCCATCTCAAACTTGTCATATTTTCATCATCCTCTTTGTAGTAGACTCCATAACCAATAGCCACAGTCAATCCATTTGACATGTACTATGAAGGTCTTCAATTCAACGTTATTGCTGGTTCATCGATTTCCAAATAATGCCAATAGGAATGAAAGCTGCTGGTAGTCATGACATCCATACATCTTGATTTTTCAAACGAACATCAGACTTTTTAGCATAGTGTGGTCAATAGCACAAATGCAAGTTGAACCTCCTATTTACCACTTCTGAACCTCCCTTCTACTGAGCATGCTCTCTAGAAGGATGTAGGACTACTGTAATTTGATCCTGGTCCCACATTGTAGTAATAACCATTACAATACTGTACATCGACAGGCTGTGGTGGTGATGATCCAGCCATCTGATACTGGTAAGGTTCATAACCATCATACTGTGGAGGTGTTAAAGCTGGTGCTTGTATATAAGTCTGAGCTGGTTGTGGAGGTGACATATTTTGTGGTGTTGGTGGAGGTGTTGCCAGTTCCATGGGGATATAGTTAGCTGTTGGTACCTGTTGCCACTAATTGGACAGAATTACCAAAACATTACATTATTAGAATTACTACCATTAGTACTTATACTGAATGGAATGATGTGTCAGAGAATTTCTTATAAATTTAATAACTGAATATGTCCTCAAGAACTCCTAAAACTTTACCCTGTGTTATTGAACACATCTAAATAATTTATCACAAGCCATTTTGACTATTATTGAAACGAATAGAATCACTCTCAAAGGTGGGCAGCAATGATGTAGCTGTTGATTATTATCCTAATATACATATACAACATAATGCATAATAATTATCTTAGAAAAACTTAGTTTTCTACCCATAATCACCAGGGAGCTGTCCCAGATTAACAAATGTTTAATGTAAAATGAAGTAAGAGTTTAACCATCCCTGTTGTCATAGTATTTCTGTTTATTAGTATTAATTAATGCTTACTAGTGTGTATTCATTTTATGTCTGTGAAACATTTTGGAAGAAATTCCCCAAAACTGCACCAATTAAGCAATAGAAGAAAAACCATTTCAAGGATCCAATGAATGTAATCAATATTTGATTTTAAGATGCTTGAATTAGATCATCAATACAAAAGAGAATTGTTATTGCATTATCATGAATTCTCAATGCTTGTTTTATGTTGACTTTGTTTTAATCCATGGTCTGACTGTATCAATACAATCATGATGATCTCATCTCTCATAATATGTCTTATGATTATTACAAGACATGCTTTTCAAGAGATTTTTTTCAATTTTTATGCGGACTGCCCTGAATAAATATCATTTGCAATGACAAAATATAGAGCATTCTTTGTCAAACCAGCTATATCTTTAAGATACAGTTTCTAATAATCAAAGAAGATATCATTCAACTGCTGCAACCAAAAAACCTTTAAATTTGGAAACTTTTGATTGAGGGTAATCTGATGCTAAATGRTTGATAGCATGCTACTGTTTTACCTGACTCTGTTGTGGGTACATCTGTAATCCTGTTACAAGTGGAACTAATAAAAGAGAAAAAAWTTTTAAGTACATGATAAGAACATTTCTCAATAAAACACAGCATGGTGGTTACCTGTTTGTAGTCCTGCAAATGGCATGGCAGCAAGCCCTTGAGGAAATGACGCTGTACTTAGACCAGGAACAAAGATTGGCACCTCCACAGTTGGTGCTTGTTTTCGTAGTGGCTCTCCAGGAGTCTAGGAATTGGATGACATGAGTAAGCAAAGTAACTAAAGCCAAAATGTAAATTATTTGTTGAACAGACCATTGTTACTTTCTTGATTGTTATAGAGGTCATCGTGATTAGACCACATACATTGAAAACAAAAAAAAAAACATAAAAATATGGTAATGTTATTGGAATGAAATTATTTGTTACTTTTTACCTTTTTTCTGGAATGACTATACATGCTTTCAAGTGAAGTATTAAGTGATTATTTTATACATAAACAGTCAACTCCTACATCGTCAGATGGGCGAATAGCCAGATGAATCACAATATACAGATTTTTAATTACAAACTGAATGATCATTTCACTTTTGATGGACAAAAAACGCAATAATAATTGTTAAGTTACTGAACTGAATGAATATGTGTTATATCTTTACTTTACAATGCGAGATATCAGTCATGACATTTCAAATCCAGTCAATATAATATTGCATCTGAGGTTATAGGAGTTGAGCATTTATAGTATTACAGTACAAACATGCAGCATTGCAAAGCAAGCAGTTGCAAGCTTAAGTATTGAATTCAACAGTATAGACATATCAAAGCAGAATGGTAGGAGATGAACTTGTGTTTGTACAACGCTACTCTTGTCAGGCTCAACAAAGCATACAWACATTGTCAAACAATGAAGCCTCAGAACATGAAACATTGTGTCCRCAATTAGAGACCATCAAAATGATAAGGACATCAATTTGAATTTGATCAGACATTTACATTGTATGCTAAGTTAAGGATGCTGAGAAAATGCTGACTGCAGCTCCCTCTACAAGCAATCATTTCYATTGTTGATTTTYATTTTGTCAGGTGCAATAGTTTAATCCAAAAAGGAGTGCATTAAGCAGTGTAGCATTATATTCAAACACTTTGTTCATGCCTATAATTCTATACCAGCTCTGAAATCGGCTCATGAGCCCTCTTGCGGGAGCCGTCCAGCTAACAATTGAGCAAGAACACATGGCGTAGAAAGTGTGCACAGCAGTGGCGATGAAGAAAGCAGCAGCACCATGAAAGAAAGGTCAAAATGCCCAATCAATGCATAGCAAATTGTACAGCTAACAATAGCCATTTTGAAGTAATAGTTCATCCTTGTTTTAATYTGAAGGTTTTGATTTATTGAGGATCAAGTCACTTGAATTGTTACTTCAAAAGGGTTATTACCATAAGCACCTATTTACAAATAACATTATTTTATCAATAAAATTCCATGTGCAAATTTGCAACTTTCCAAAGTTCATGTGATTCACTGAGACTGTCTGTCTTAAAGTAGGGAAGGAAAGTAGCTAATGAAGACTAGCATTGACATGTTACCTTATCTCTATGAAAAAGATCTTCAGTTTTGGAAAATGATCAATAAAAATGTGTTCAGATGTGAAAATAATCAYCATCTTGACAAATACAAAGGTATTAAGTCGACAAAAGCATGTCAAGCTTTGAGCTTAAGTACTTTTTCAGCATCACAACATAAGATTTCAGTTACAATTCTCAATATCATTCATTGAATTTCAACTGTTTATAAAATTACTCTTGGTAGATCATCATGGCAARTCACTATAAACCACTAACAATTCCTCAAAACAAACTAAAAACACCAGCAAAATGTAAAGAATGGCATAACAGCATTGTAACRTACCAAYGGTAAAGACATCTGTTGTTGTTGTGCGGCTTTTACTTTTCCTTGTAAATGTGTTGGTGGGTGAAAGTATTTGCATGATTCTCTTTGACATTTTCCTTTGATGAAGTCCATACAAACTGTTACCATACCATCGGATGTATCAATACTTGCATGTCGTGGAGGATGTGCATATCTACATTCTGATTCCTCCCTTGAACAGGCCCCCCTTTGGTATTCGCGACATACCTAAAACATATAGTTATAAATTTCATTTTTCAAGACAGAAAATKAGCTATATATGGTTGTAAATACCTCAAGTTTATCTGACTTGTCTAACCGTCGTGGTGTACCTGGTATACCAGACGTGTCAGGAAGAAAAGCAACAGGCTGTTGTATCAARGTACCATTTGATGTTGGAACTTGCATTGGCCATCCTGGTAACTACAGTAAGAAATTAAAAACATCTCATTTTCATGACATTTTYAAAAACAACCATTTATTCCATATGTCTAATATAATTCATAAACAATGAAATCATCACATTTCAATGCAGCTATAAGCTATAAATATACATCAAAGTGAGATTACCACAAATTCTACAGTAACAAAAAGCTAATTGCACTAATCTTACATTCTGGCAAAAAGTGCAGAGTGCATGTTTATCTTCAGATTTTCTCTTCAATTTGATAAATACAAAAACAATTACAATTCTCCCTTACAGTCCAAGTGTCAAACATCACATTTAATAATGTAAATAACAGCCATTTATTGCCAATCAGAGTTTTCATCAAATTATTCAATATATTTTGGACAAAAAGCACTTTGACAGTGCAATGCTGAGTATGAAACTCAATCAACACCATGGGCAAGCATAGATGAACGGAATTCAGGAGAGTTCATTGTTCAAACATCCTGTGTATACACCTTACTTGCATTTTGATCTTATCACAACTTAATGGCTTTTAACCTAAAATAATCTAAATGAAGCAATTTTACTCTTTTGTTTTTGATATTTTCCAACCAAAGCCTGCAATAAAACCATGTTTTGGTACATTAGTAGCCCTAGGGAAAATAATGTTTTATTTCAAATATCACATTCTTGTTTTCAAAAATAGACTTGTTGACACTACCTTGACAAGTCTGAATTCAGTATAATTAGACTCAGCCAACAGCTTTTAGGTAACATAAAAAGGCTTAATTTGGTATTATTATTATTATCTGTTAAAAGATAATATATGCACAATTTTAAATATARGGTCTGATTGTACTTTGAGATCTTATTGGAAACTATTACACTGCATTAAAGTCAGGATTGATCTACAACTATTATTAGTAAAAATAATCAATGCATGACAAGTGTAGGGGAAAAATCTGAGACAAAGTGACACAGGTGTCTCAAAAAATCAAGACAATTCTAGAAAAAATCAACAAAAAATGTTGATGCAGACRTGAAATAATATGACAAATAAAATGAAACACTCTTTGAATATTAAGCTAATCTAACTGATTTCAGTTAACACATCTATCACAATAAATCTTTACACAATTTTTCCTACAGAAAAAAAGAATAAAGAAATACTTGTACTGCAAAACTCATAATCCATGCAATCAAATCCAACCTGTCAGGGGGATTAGTAGGGGGCAACAACCACTGGTTACAGATATGTATCTGGCATATAGAAACTATAACTTAGTTGATCACTGATACAAGTAAAAACGTTTTCATATCTTCACGTTTATTTTCAAATCAAGTGTTTGGATTTAAATGATTTTTTCTTAGTTGTGTTTAATTACAGGGAGGTCTGTCAACAATAGCATTGATGAGCATGAAATCATCATTCAACTTCATATGGAGATGGGGAAACTATCACCTTTTATATAAGCTAACATTTCATAACCTATAATAAGCGATCTGTTATTTTGTTGTAAGACATTGCATGCACAATTTAAGTCCCTTACACTTATTGTATTCTATTCAAAACCCCCCTTTGGTTGACCCCCCACTGAGGCAGATTTATCTGTGAAACATTCACTACTAGGATGAACATTTAAAAATAAATCTCTTTGAAAAAAGCTTAGGCTTGAGTGAAGGTATTATATTCCTTTATAATTTTTTTGGGAAGATGCTTGGTTGCTTTGCAAAAAAAGGAAGACCAAATAGCARTAGTAATTACACATAGACAGAATTTAGCAACAATGATCAATAATTCAAAAGAGTTGCCACAAACTTTGCTTGAAGCAGAATTCCCACAGAGAAACAACGTTTCCTTGGGGGGTAGATTCCTTGGTAATGTTATTCTAAAAATTTAATTTTGAGTGATTTAACCAGGGTTTGAGAAGGTTTTATTTTCAACGAATGAGAAAGCAATTTCAATCGATAATTTGTTAGAAATAATTGAAAATACAAAACCTTATAATGTATTCATATTAGTAGGTTTTTTCTATTACTGTACGTGTGGATGTTAAGCAATTGTTTTGTTTTCGATTTTATTCATGAAAGTATGTTTTTTCTTGCTATATGAAGGTTTTTATGTTGATATGTACACTTAGATTACTGTCAACAAAGTGAGTAACAAATTCATAAAATGGTTTCTTCATGAATTCTAGGAATACATGAATAGGAGTTTGCCAAGGTCACAAGGTTGAATGAATCTGGACATGTGACAAGAACGACTGCTGGTCATTGGCTAAAAACACTTTTGTTTTCACAACTGATTGACACTTTCAATTCTGTTATTTGTCTTCTTATGGTTCTATACTTAAATGTACCTAATTGCATGTGATGTAGAATTACAACATACTGACAGTTAGCATGTTGACATACTTGAAAATGTGGAAGGAAATCTTGCTAGTGGAATCTAAATGATTGCTTTGTTATTTCTAGAATAAATGTGTTTTTAAACTGAACAAAATATCAACATATTTATGATTTCTGCAAGATGTTATCATAATGAATAGAAACTCAATATTAATGATTTATACAAAAAATATAAAAAATCTTGTCTACATCGATGGAAGATTCCTTGTTCATGCAATTTTTCTTTTTATAATTTTCATTACATAAAAACAGATGTGAAGGTGCAGACAGGTTTGGGAGTTTCTTGTCACGTTTTTTTGAATATTGATTATTGAATTAATGAGTAGATGTGAAAGGATGACACGTCCTGTAGGCTTGGAATAGGTAATCAACTATGACCTTTGAACAATCCACTAATAAAAAGGACTTATTTTGTAACCTCCTCAGCAGATCAGTTAATTCTATTCCAGCTATTTCAAATGAAATCAAGAGCTGTATGTTTTCAATGAAAATTTCTAGACAAATCTATTGATTTAGCATAAACTACGATATAAAAAAATGCATAATGTGAAAATAATTTAACACAAACTACCTGTATTGATCTTTTCTAAAATAATGGTTTTCAGACATAAAATATGATGTTAGACTGTTTAACTAATAATATACATTCAGTAGAMGACAAAAACAGTTGCTGTGTAGACCCTCCAGGTAAAAGCTTTGTATGTTTTCAAGCATTTTTGTCTACTTCATTGAGACAGATTTGAATATGAGAAACTCAATATTTTAAATAGTAGTGAAAAGACATTCAAATTGTGAATCACAAACTTACCAATGTTTGGTTTGCTAACATTTGTTGAGCAAGAGGTGCAATCATTTGATGTTGCATTGCTATTTGTTGCTGCTGATGCTGTAGCATTCTGCCATTTGTTTCAAGCTGAGTTTTTAAGTGTTTTGGTGGATGCAGATATTTACATTTTTCTCTTTGACATCGGTCCTATAAAAAGAAAATGATTTTTTAATTACTTAATTGTTGTGTTTCTGGTAGTGCGTAAATTAATAATCATTAATTTAAAAAGTATAATAAATAATGGTCAAGTCAAGTTTTTGTTGCAATGAATAATTACTACATGTATACTGTCCGTAGTTCTCTAGACAGTGGACTGCTAACCATTAATGTAGGGGATTGAAAATGGACTTATAAAAGCAGGTTGCTTAGTGCTTAATACAATAATGATGATAAAATATCAAATTCTGCAAAAYATGACTTCTAATCAAATTTAAACCTATCCAAGTGGTTTTCTGTTGTAATAACAACTGCAATAAATGACAATATTGCAAGAAATGACAGTGTCAATATGAAATGGTATGGTGTTAAYCATGTTATTATTGTATTGGAATATACTTGAGTCACTTTTGCTATTATCAATGTCATCACTATCATTACTCCCATTTTCAGAAAATGAAATTAAAAGAAACTAAAAGAAAAAAACGTTTTCAASCATCCCAAGGAAAGCAACCTAATTGACTATTCGCTAGATCAAGTACAATCTTAGAACAACTACATGTAACTTGCAAATAGATAACACAGACAGAAGCAAAGCCTTTCACTCCCAGCCCTTGGGATACTCAAAAACAGTTATAGACTTGCTTGAAGCAAAAAAAAGGTTGAAAGTAAATTTAGYAACCAATAAAAATCAGCTTCCTAAAAAGACTAACATTCATTGGTTGAGCTAACAATGGAGTCAGTAACAAAGCATCAATTATGGACTGGAGAAAATTGCAAGTCAAACAGGAAATTTGAAAAAATAATAGTAAAAGAGAATGCCATAAGATATTCTACACACAGTATAAACACAAAGGATATAGTGTTTTGAGTATTTTAAATGAACAGCAAATTTGTTAGAAGTTCAATAACAGAAAGACTTCAAAGTTGCAGTGTTTCATTACTTCTTATATTGTTCATGTGCCTTGTTCAAAATAGTTTTCTATTTTTAGATCCAGTTGTTAATTACTGTACAAGTCATTACCTAGGAATGACACTCTATGGGACAAAGTCCAAAAGGAAACAAAAATGGCAAGATATATTAAAAATGACAGTAAGGATTACTGGCTTGAGGAAATTATTGTGTTATGACATTTTCTGTTTCGACTTGCCTACTTCTATTCAAATTAACAGTGTTTATACGAACAATAAGGGGGAAGTGTTGATGAGATATGTAAATAAAGATAAAATCTCTGATGAGGTACACTAAATAAAATTGTGTATGTTGAATTATGACAATACTTTAGCTGTTAATATCACTGACTATCTAACATTATTCAAGAAAAACATGGTAAATCCTAAAAGTGGAGCAGTAACTCTTCATATTTCCTATATCTTCAATAATTTCAAATGGCTGAATAGATCTGGAGGTTTGTCTGGATGAAAAAAATCATCTATTGTATGATGCAAGTTTATATTTTATGATTATTTCATAAGTTTTCATGTTAATCAGACAAGTCTTGACATGACTTATTTTTTGTCATTATTTAAGGTTCTTCAAATAATAATTTACAATATTGTAATATCCTAAACAATGAATACATCTTTGCTAGCAACAATTTTGAATCTTAATGTATGCAGCGAAAACATTTACCAGTAAATATTTTCTCCCACCCCCTGAATTTGAAATAGCTGAGAACACCAACCTGTTATGACATAGTAGGCACTATCATGGTAGTTTCTTACAAATACAATACTAGTCTAAAATGTGAAAATATTTGGCAAATTACATGCATCCATAGTTCTGGTAGACAACAATAAATAATTTTGTTTACTTTTTTGATAATGAATAGAATAACAATGTTTTGAAAGAGAAGACTGATGCAACAGATGATTTGACAACTTGTACACTTTCTTGAATGTGAAGAGTTGTGATCAGCAGAATCAAAACAACTACTCACTTTAAAAGTATAGCCAACTTGTGTTTCAAGGAGAAGGTTTTACATAGAGTATTTTACTTAAAGTTAATATCAAAGAAAGGAATGAAGAGGGTGGGATAACACAACAGGTTCTATTCACTGACATTGTTGGACACCAACTGAAACACATCTTTARGACATTCCACAATACTGGTGTCACTAGTACTACAAAGGAATACACCAGATGCTAACTACACTATGACACATCAAAATTAGTCATCCTTTTTTCAGAGAGGAAAAAAAATTGAAATCTCATTTGCATTAGATATCTTTTGACCTATATTGTTTTGATATATTCAATTCATGGTAGTTGAACCTGTTTATACCAAACTGGTGTGAAAATGATAATGATAAGTTTTGAAGTAGGGTGAAGTCTCATGAACAAAGAACTCCAATTAAGAAATTAATTCATAATGCAAGTTATGTGGAATTGCTAGAAAGATTTTTACTTATCAGACATTGTGTGAACAAAGGAACTTGCTTAGTAGTCATTTTTTTTCTTCTTCTTTCTTAGAAGTTTTTTTTTTGACCAGCAATGTGCTTTGAGAGAAGAGATTATTTTCACATAACTTCTGAAATACTTGATACTTGTAAAAATATAGAGAATAGGTGCAGTTCTCGATCCAATTTCTCTTACAAATAAAAATATCATTATTCAGCAATTTCTAAGACTTCCTTTCTTAAGTTTAATATACTATAAAAAGTATTGTTGAGAGTCATTCAAGCATATGATTGTCTTGCAGGTTAACTGCGAAAACAATGTAGCTTCAAAATAAAAACGAAACAAAAAAATAACGACGTCTATGTAAGAATTAGATTTTACCTCGATATATATGAATATATCTGAAAAAAAGACCCGTAACTTAGTAAAATCTTGGTGCCTTTAATTACGTCGTTACATGCTTGAGCCCGTCTGGTATTGTAAGCTTACTGTCACTCGAAATACTTCATTTTTTGGGGTATAAATGCAAAATCCAAATTATACTTAAAATAAGATCCATCAATAAGGGAGCAAGTTTAACAGGCGAATAATGACAATATCAGTGGCGCAGTTTGTAATCGTGCCTCTAGCATAACACGCAACCTAACAATTCAACATTTTTATATGTCACGAAAGGACATTTCTTACACGTACGCTCGATTACCTTTATCCAAGAAGGAAGGAAGAAAAGCGATACACAGACGCGAAACTCTAAAGAGAACTCATCAAAATTTGTCGTCATAAACACATAATAAATTCTTTTCTACACACGTCAACAGTTTTTTAGAGAACTAAAAGTTTATATGGCTCAGTATTGAAGTGGGATGCTTATAAGTTTTCACACACGATGAATAAAAATGTCAAGATCAGTCGAGTCAAATAAAAGTTTAGATGAATTTTTTTCCGCGCCACGTGAGAGAGGAATCAAAGTTTGAATCTTTACGAGCTGATTCATTACATACACGAAGACGCAACAAGTTTGAGACAGAAGAGGACTGAAAAAAACCATGAAGACGGTTTCGCATGACAACAAAACACCTTATCTGAAGAATATTACATCCATTCTTCTTGTTTCTTTCCCGAAAATCAATTTATGCGAGCGATTTACTGTAGTTGTCAAGAAAGATAAATTTGCAAACGTCTGCAAAAATTAGTGTTGTATTCAAACAATGTCAGATACGACACAGGCCCAGTACGTCAAAAGTTCAACTGCGTCTTCTCGCGATTACTTGGAAAAACAGTGCGACACGGGTCTAAAAATTTTCACAATAATAATGGAAGACATATCTCACAATTTTTCATGGGTTATGTGATTCAGGAGTACCTTTAGAGAATCGAAGCATGCCGTAACACGGCCGTTGTGGACAGCCACATGAGCCGGTGGGTGCGCGAAACGGCACTCGTCCTCTGTTCGAGAGCACTTCCCTCTTTGGAACTCACGACAAACTTCGACTTGTAGCCAGCGCGGATCTTTCCCCATTAATGGCACAATCATGCTCGGTGGAGAGCCTGTTGACTGCCTGCGGAACTGGGATGTTAAATCCGTGGTAAGGCTTGCTAGAACACTTGGATTATTTTTCTTTTTTCACAGCAATTCTAAATACGATGCAATAAAGGCCAAGATTTTTCCGGATATTTCTGGCTGCCTCGTTCTGATGTTGCTATGAGTGAGSCTGCGCATGCTTGAACTCAATAAAATCGCAGGCTCAAATTACATAACAATGAGTCATCGAGCCAGGGTCAGGGTTAGATGGATGAAAGAAACAGCACTGAAAATGCTCCCTTTACTCACGGAATACAAAATCCAACTAGTTTGTATCGATTAAGAAAGATAGTTTATTTCCGAAGTGATATTTTTCGCGCATTGTATCATACATAGGTTGACATTTCACGGTCTGTAGCATAGTGCGTGAGCTGAGTGTCGGGTAAATCACGCGACCTTACAGTACATTGGTGACTACGTGATGGATCGTGCAAGTTTACACTTCTAATCGCCGCGGTCAATTACGTCACCGTCCAGTGCCATGAAGAGATGGCTTGGTCCTCAATGTATTTCCGCCAGAATATCAATGCCAGGAATTGATTTGAAACACCGCCTAACCACAAATGTTTACTCTTAGCCTCTCCCATGTGGCTAGTGTTGTTAAGTCAATAGAATGGGATTGTAATAGATAAGAAAAACTATAATGGGACCCTTGCGATTGTCAGACGCGCACAACGGTAAACAGGAAACTTTTTCAAAGATTTCAAATTCCTTTCTATTCTTTCGGTTACTCAATAATACTTTCAACGAGTTCGCTAGTTATGCGGTTTTGGGGGAACACGTGTTTTAGAATCAGGAAGAAAAGGAACATTGTAAGATTTTACAAACCTTCTGGAGTGCTTTTATTGAAGAGAGCTATAAAAAGCTACTTTGATCCAAAAAAAGAACTAGGCAGACGCTTTGTGTACATGTATATAAAAAAATGAATAGGACGGAACAGTTTGATGGAATTTTTGTCATAACTGTGCGGAATGTCTCTTTGAATTGCGAAACAGACGCGCCACGTGAAGAGCTTGGACCAAACCAGTTGATCTTTCTATGAAGGGCTCAGCCATTACAATCGTTACTGACTCACAATGACGTTTCCACCTACGTCAATAGAAGAAAAAAAAGCGAAAAACACGGAGGTACTATTTCCAATTATAGTTATGGTGGGAACRTTTGGAGCATTTTGATTTTCTAAGTCAACAAGAAAACGGGTGTTATGGAATCACAAGGGATAGTTTGTAGTTTCAAACAACAGTGAATGACGCAGTTTTAATCGATTACCAGTTATAAGATACTCAACTGCTATGCTGGTAGTGGCTGGTACTGAACTCAGTTCGTTAGCGATATTGGACTGTAATTCATGTTATTATTCAACCACGGTCTATCACCTTTGATTCAAACCAAGCTTCATTTACCGAAATCTTTATGACAATAGTTTCTAAAATTCAATTGAAGGGTTAGGAATGGTCCAAGCGCAAAGAATCATACACGGTGATTGTCGGGAGGGGGAAGACCGTTACCGAGATCTAAAAAAAACACCGTTTATGTTCAGCAATTCTCGTTCTTGCTTCATCACCGGCCGGTTTATTTAAGATTTAAAATTCAATCCATATACTCATGACTGACATCAATAAGCTACATTCTTTGTCAATCACAACTACATCCTGACTTTACAAAAGCGTTCGATTGCATTTCGACCATATACCTAGTGAATTTAAGCTCTCGAGTAACGTTTTCTTTATATATAGTTAGTTTCTAGTTTAACGTATTCATTTCTTGTATTTTCGTTTCATCATAGACCATGACTCATCGTCTTTGAAATGCTTTCGAACGATCTGCATACAAAGAGACTTTGAGATCAAAAGAGTGAGTCATGGTTTTCTTGATCGGGAATCAAATGGACTACGTGGTGTTTTTTTCCCGATCATGAGCTATAAAATTTATAGTTCAAACTTTGAGTTGAATTTAATCTGGCCACATGCGGTAAAAGTCCACTCAAACCAAGATGGTTATAGTACTACTTGGGCAATAGTCGGTTGAAGGTTGGAGAATGTGATCCGGTATGTTTCCATGTTCCTTTGCGTTTTCATTCTAGCTAAATGAATTACCTAAAAATATCCTATCACTTAGCTTTTATATGTGTGCTTAACAATATTTGTGTCCTCTTTGAACATGCTCCCTCATGCCATCAATAAGTATTTCGGTAGACAGTCACTTAGGAATGAAATTGCAACACTTCGGCTAGTTCTTGGTTTCTTATCATCAAATGATTAGTGAAACATTTTTGTATAGTAGTAGCTTGTTCACATTCGCCTTGCCGTTCAGTCAACAAAACCCGCCCAAAAAGTATGAATTCCGCTATGCATTTCTAGTTTCTTTAACGATGCCTGTCTGCGTCAGGCTTTAAATGCTAAAAGAAAGGTAAGAAGTCTTATCAATGACGATATCATTATTAGAGAAATTAAAGAAAATGTCCTAAACAAAGAGAAAGCTTTTCAAAGGGTAGTCCGCAACGGCAACTAAATGCTTAGATCAAGAGACTGATACTCGCAATCAGTAGCAACAAAAATCTCGCTCGATCTTGCTCAAGAATGGTGCTGAGAAAACTTGTGACTAAAAAAACTATTTGTGGATGGATCAGGAAACCATTAATGTTATATAATACAATTCATGCTACATCTGACCAATACATTTCAACCGAAACTCCCGATCGCGATCACAATGCACTCAAAGAATATCATTATATAGAATTAGTTTGGGGCTGTAACACCAATAAGGTAACTTCAAAACATGAAAAATTATTTAATAACATTGTAAACGGGAAGTATGATACCCAGATTTAAAAAAACTGATCGCCATATTAGCTGCTTCACTATATGCACGAACGGACTAAGCTAGATGAAATACTACGATTACCGCTAAGAGGAAGAATGGACTGGTTACTGATACGCATGAACATCGATTGATTCGACAATATTCATGACTGATATTTAGAAAAGAATAAATTATTTTTCTGCATTCGAGCTATCTATATTATAAGAGTGACAATAACGTACAATTATCACCATGCAGTCACAATGTGGCTCAGAGTTCTAGATCAGGGAGGGCGAGGTTTTGATGGATTGATATATGTCAGAACTGGACAACAACCTCACGTAGTATAGCAGGTAAACGAAATTGTAGGTGGGCTGCAAATATGATCAAAGTCCGATTGGCGTAGTAAGTTGAATTTGTTTTTACAGTCTTCGTAACCAAAGCGGCTTAGGAAAACACGGAAAATTCGAAAGGGATTTAATATTAAAACCTGATATGTCCAAACTAGGCGAAAAACACCTGCATCATGCAAACATATAAACTGAGGAGAAAACGAATTAACGACGAATTGGAATACACAACAGACGTATATTTAAGAATCTTAACTGGTAAAACGCCATAGGATTTCCATTCATTTYGACTTAATTTAGTTAGCATTTTGTACATCTCCGCTTGACGTCGTTTAAAACAAGAACCTAATGTGTTTATAGATTGAAACTCTGACTGTACTAGTAGTTTCAGCCGCGTTGTCTCGACAAAGCTGTCGCGTGCCGCGCGTGAGGATTTCCAGCATCTCTACTGAGCATGCGCGTCGTTTAGATTAGTCAAAGAAACAAACACTTGAGATTTGGGCGTGGTATTGCGGCGGGCAGTCAGCTGCAATTTACGAAAAGCTATCCGGAAATGTCGTCGGAAACTCCATGAAATATAATAATTTATTTTTCAGCTATTTATTTTAGATGCATTAAAGGATATATTTTTCACGATATCCTATGAATCCCAGGTTCATGTTGCGGAACTAAAATGCTCTTACTGGTTTATTGCATTCATATCGCCTTTCGTCTTATTGCGTGAGCTCTGATAATTCATTTTCGTGAAAATTTTATTGCATTCAACGATTCGTGACCAGTTACCTGAATCTTAATCGTCCTATCATCAGCTAATCAATGGAATACTCTTTAAATAATGTAGGGTAACCTTTTGACAAACCGACAGAATAACAAATAATTTTAGTTCCTTATTGGCGTCGGGTTTGTATTGATCTATATATTCGTGAAAACATCAGACGGAAGCTAAGTTTATATCATTTGCATAATTATGATATATGTGCAATTTTTGTAGTAATAAGTATTAACAGAAAGTGTTCGTGTTATGTTAGTGTTTAATCCATTAAACTTTGTTATTGGTGCATTGTAATATCAATAGTTTATATCATGGATAGAGAATTGATGCAGGTACCCTTATAGTGAATGGCTCACGTACACATGATACAAACACGGAACAAACCGGTCATCCGTGATGCTCCATATAATATATTCGATTACATATGAAAACACGCACAGATTGTATTTTGTGAAAAACATAACAGATCGTTTTCCTAAATATGTTTCCGTCGGGAGATTTTTCGTTTTTTGACCTGAGTCACGTAACATCTCGTGAGAGGCTGTTAACCGATTGATCTTCTCTTTAAAACAATGCGGCATATATTTGTCAAACGCCTCTTTACAAGCAAGAAAACGAATATAATCAGAAGTTTATACTTAATGTAGTTGATATTTTAGGTATAAAGTATTTTACAAAGTCATCTAAGCTTTTATAAAAACAAGGCAGGATTTTCGTGCAGTGTAAGTGTTTTGTTATATTCTCTGAAATCCCTTGCTATTAATCAGGCACGCCGGGGAGATATTTTTCAAACTCCTGCTGTGAGGTGGTTCATCGTACAGACATCAACTGTCCTGACACCAAAAAAGATAAAACTTCACCATATATAAGCTAGCATTAAGGTTAAATTCTCCATTAAAAYACCTGAAAGGCATGATTTGGTCTGTGATAAAAAAGGTTTTTACTGTAAATAGTTTACATACACATCGATATTTGGCGAATGTGATTGCGTGACTTGCATTCGGTATGTTTATACTCGAGGTGAAGCGGCTATTTTGTATCTTTAATTGTCGGTAATAAAGATACCGCTATACGACCTTGGCATTTATTTCCCGGCTCCGTAGGGCTAAAACTATATTTGTGTTGATGGTGATGAGTGGTAATAACTATACTTTGACTTTTCATGAAAAAATCTCTCATGATAATTGGAATTTCGCATATATATCACTTTTATATATAAAGAATCACGTTTCGACTTCTTATCGGTGAATTGACCGATATTGATCATGATCTGACTGGCTCTGACTGGACTGATACTAATGCGACGTGACTTCASTAACATATGAAAATGTCCGAAAGCAGCCGTAAAAACAAATGCCGCCACCACAATAAAAAAACACACATCCAAAAATCGACAAATAAAACCATCCACTAATGAGAATTTAAGTAATAAGCCAAATGCAAMGTTTGGTCTTCCTGTGATTTTACTCAGCAGGGACCTGGGACGGTAGTGCTTGACTACCAAAATGGCGTCCAATATAGGAGCAAAAAACAAATAGTTAAAAACATTTACTTAAAATGTAGCATTWTTTTATAGTTTTGATGTAAACTTAAGCTTATTCATATTGGAAAGTTAGAGTAACATATAGGACAACTGACATTTTGGTAAAACGCAATATAATATAATGAATTGAAACATCGTTCTTGAGGAAATCAAAGCTGTTGACTCTCGGTAGTTTTATACTGGGTGGCAAAAGCTAAATTCTGAACAATATCTGAAATGGCCAGTCAGCAAACAAAACGGCTAAGGTAATCAAACTGACCAGGTTTTTTCTTGAGTTATTGCATTCTGAATGAACATTGATGAATTTGACATAAGATGATTTTTATATGATCTTTTTTTTGTTTTTAACTTAGTGTRTCAAGTGATGGTTTAAGGACAGGAGTACTGGAGAGATGGTCKAAAGCATTCGAAAAAAAGTGGGTCTTATTGTACAGATGATATTCAATCAATAATTCTAAGACTCTAAGATTTGTCAAGTGGTCTAGGAATACATGTATCATCCTGACACAGCAATTCTCATAATTATGCAAACTTGACAATTTAAGCTTCCACCACCATCCATATCAAATACAGACATCAAAGAGATTTTTGAAATCTAAGTTTAGTGGAACACTTAGCATAAATGAGGATTTGCCTTTTGGTCTTCCTGTGGTAATCTAGTGAAGATACACGGGAAAGGACATAAGAAAATTGTTTTGCCCTTGATCACGAAATGTTTATTATAAATTGACCAAAGTTCATGTCAACTAAAAAAGATTATCTTGAAGATGATTGTAGTGGTCTTTCTCTGAGACCATGATGTGGGACTCCCAGATTACCTGTGAGGGTTAGCAGCTATTTCATTGTTGCACTGCTCTGAGAGCACAATAATCYCATATAAGTGTTTTGAAAAAACACAACAACCGTTTTGGCACTTGTCATGCTTTTACATCAATGAGCTAGAAATAATGGAAAACTCTAGTGATTGAGGAGTAGGAAAAAGACTTAGAAATGGCGTTTCCTTCTCAAGCAATACACCTCCCCTTTCTAGCTCAGGTCTTGATGTTATGATATTGACTACAAACAATTTAAACCTATGACCTTATTTGAGCTTGAGTGCATGCTCTCTCCATCCCAAACTCACCATAAAGCCCTCCCTCAATGTTTCATAACTGAAATTGGTACCTGCMATCTTCTCTTTCTTTTATCCTTCAGCTATGTGACGAAAACTCCAAGAACTGTAAGTAATCAAGAACAATAGCTAGAGTACATCAGAATTGTCATGGATATAGATAAAATTCTTAAATTAAAAAAAAAATCTGTTCACAGTTACCTTATCGCGGCTCTACAGAAGAACTTCAAAATCTAGAATTAGAGGATGTATGTGAGGAAGTGCAAGAAGAAATTGATACCAAAAGTAAATATTTAAATCAATACTGACTTCTTGCATCATTTTTGCAATTCTAATTGCTTTAATTGCATTAATATAAAAAAGATGCTACAGTAAGATTGAAAAATGTCCCTCCCATTTCATTTACATCAGATTCAGAATTCATTTGTTTTCACAGGTGGCCAGCGTTTTGCAAATATAAAGCAAAATCGTACTTCTCTTTCAAAAGTAACAAGAAGAAGGAGTAAAGAACTCATTAGACCTAAAACCCCTGGAAGATCAGGACTATATCCTGAAGTAAGACCATCTACATTGTATAAACACATGGACTTTCTCTTTTGATAACTGACATGACATTTTTTAGTGTAGGGGGAAGAGAGGGGAGTGAAATACGGTGATCAATATTCTAGTCTGTATATTTCTACCAATCTATCTTTAGGTATCTATTGGTAATGGACGACCTAAATGGCAATCATCCACAAAGATTGATCCACAATCTAAAATAGAATCTGACAAACAACCAAGAATTACAAGTGAGATTATTAATTTAATGTCTGAATAAAAGTGTAACTACTATGATAGCCCATGCTCTACATCTACTTCCCTTCAATGTGTAGAACTAGAACCCTATAGACTAAGCATAATAATATGCATGAAGCCAAATGCACATTACAATTAATAATTCTGCTCAAATCTTTATAAACATTCTATTTGATGGTACAACCAACTTACTAATGGCCATAATCTCCAAATTTTCATAGATTATCCCAAAGAACAACAGTTACTATCTGTTACCAGAAGTCCACAACCACCATCTAGTGCAAGAAGTAGGAAATCAGATTCTAGTCCTGTACAACGTAGACCAGCTTCACCAAATAATATTCCAGATGTTGCAGAAATCAAACCAYTTACATCACCACCATCGGCTATCACTATCAGATCACCAACACCAGTCAGTCCTTTTTTACCTGTAATTCCTGTTTTCCCTGTACATCCTGGTACTGGAGGAAAACCAATAACACAGCAGATAGCAATAGTATGTAATAAATGTTGCAAGGCGTCCCATATAACATCACCCTTAATAACCGTAGCCATGAATACAAGCACCAGCTACTGAAATTGAATGACGTTCCAAAAATCAATACATCTAACGATAATGTTCTTTTCAGGATTTACGTAATGTAGTATTTGGTTCAGCATTGACATCTTTTAATTCTGACTGGAGAAGTCAACACATAAACTTCCTGAAACATTCCTCATATGGTATAAGCTTTTACAAGGTAATGAGTCATATATTAATGAAATTGTTATTATTTATGCATTTCTGCCATGTCTGCTAAGTATGGACCACCATGTATATCATAGTACTATGGCCCTAGCACGCACTTAATTAACACTTTGTTTAATACAGCCAGGTCCTTGTGGAGTAATTGCTTGCATTCAAGCATTCTTAATGAAATACCTGTTATTCTGTCAGCAATTATCTATCATGACTGAGAGGTAGGGGATTTTCTAAATTTCCTTGACTATTGCAACTTGTTAGAAATAATAAATTCTATGGCTACTGCAGTGTGTTAGAACCATTACCTTCAGAAAGGCAACAAGCACTGGTTTCAGCAATGACAGATATGTTATGGCAGGCTGGCAAGGAGTCTCACTGTGCTATTGTAGCTCTGTAAGTACTAAACTTAACTTTATTTCTGTTGCAAACTGATAACTTATACTTCCTTCATTAGTCCTGGCGCAGAAACAAGCAAGCTTCCTTCAAAGAAAGACTACAGAGGAGATGGTTTGACTGAAAATGTACATATTTCAATGTCACTGTTGATGTTACAAACTTACTTAAATTTCTTTGATGAAAGCACTTTGTGTATGTTGTTGTTGTCCTAAGATGTCCCATTTAATGTCRCATTCATAGCTTGTACTTTTTGGTTTCGATGACATTAAGGAATTGGAAAAGTTCATCAAGAGACATTTATCATTTGTAAGTAATGTACCTAAACAGTCCATCCTATCTATTTGTCTGTTTTTTCCTGGTGACCATTCCAAACTCTCCTTTGATTACTAATGTGACATTGTCTTCTAGTTTGAGAATACCAGTGGAAATGGCTGTGTTGTCTTTCTGTATTCTGTCATACTGTCACGCACTATCAATCGGTAAATGATAATTTTCATATTGCTATTACTTTATTGATTTTATGTAATATATAAAATATGAGCGGGAGACCTTTATAGCCCATAAAGGTTGGACRCGAATATTTTATATTTCTTATTAAATTCCAACATAAGCTGAAGCATATTTCAAAAAAAACTTCAGGATAACATATCATTTGTAAGAGAAAATTGAAGTTAAAGTCGTATGCAAATCAGGACAAATCTCTTCCTCATACAAAGATGCGGTTATGGCAATAATTTTCCATTGTGAATTATTAATGAATTTGATAAGTACAGTAATCCATCCTTCTTGTGTACTGTACCAGACAACAGTGTTATATAACCAACAGGCTATATTCCTTTTCATATTTTAAAATGAATTGCCTTTCAGAGTGAGGGAAGATCTTGGACATCCTAATTCAATTCTAATGGGACCCAGTGATACCTGCTCTCAGGTATTGGTATTTGATTCATTAGACCATCCAGTTTACAGGCAAATGATGTAAGTATATTAATTTGAAATAGGCAATGATCAACCTGTTACTGACTGGACGGGCTGTCAACCACACCTTCAATGGAATAATGGAATATGACAGGAGGGGAAAAGCTTTGGTAAGTTAATATGAATATTTGGGGCTTACAATAGTGACCCATAATGACTTTTGTCTGAGCTGGCAGTTTCTGACTATAAGGAACGTTTTTGCAGAGGTATGCTGCGACATATTATCTAAAACGAACTTACCGCTTATTGATGGTCTCAATTTTGGAAGAAAGAGGATACAATTAGCTAACCAACGGATTAATGTGAAGTGTTCTTTGTACGTTTACATTTTTCTTCTTGTTTCTTTATTATAGCCCTTCCCTCTCAAAGGCGTTAAAGCACGAAGCGATGTGGGATTTTTGACTCTTAACGAACACTTTAGGCCTAGAGAATTTCAGGTAAATCTGATGAAACATGAACGCGGCTATAATAACGCGTAAAACAAATAAAACTGAACGTACTTTCTTTCCTAAGGTCGGGAGTATGTTAAAGACTCCAAAATATCCCGTCTGGGTTGTGGACAGTACTGGTGGTCGCTATAGTGTCATATTTTGTCTAAATTGCGAACTTGTGAATGATTGGTAAGCTCTTTTAATACTGTAAAACTAGGCATGTTTTACGTCTAAAAATTTTATATCTATATTGTTTGATTCGTTACAGGCGACTCGAGAGGCGGTTTAATTTACACTACTACAATGGCACTACAAAGTATAGCTCCTCGCTTGATGACATAATTACAGTTGGTGAGGCGGAGTGTTACATGTAATAGAGTTACCTTTAGACATCCAAAGACTTGATGCATTGTCTTTACTATACTGACGTTCCATGGCTTGTTATTTTGAATTACGATCGAGTCCTATATTTTGGACGAACGTGGCAACGTGTCTGAAACGTACTAATCTTTAATACGTAACTTGTTGTGTCAGAGGAACAATCGTCATTGTGTGACAGACACCTGTCAAGTCGTCTTTTTTAAAACTCTTCGTTCTTGCTTTATAGACACACGAGATTTCGTGGATGAGTCAGAAATTACTCAAGATATCCACCCAGTTGAGCATTGCCTAAGAACAAAGTAAGTCAATTTTTGTCTGATTTACATTCAACTTGCATAGCATATATGGTCATATATATCACGCTGTTTAGTACCTTTGAAAAAGTTACAAGTCGGGTCTCGGTAAATTTTTGAGTTCATCTCGAAAGTTTTCATATTGAGTCTCGCATTCTTTTGATTGCTTTTATTCGAATCTATGGTTGTCTTGGACTTTGCAGTATACCTCTACAGCAGTCACCGTCGTCAACTATCCATGTTCTGCCCCACACCCTATGTGATATTGTTGTTTCACTGCACGAGTACTAGATACAAATTATTGCTTTCTTTAGGTGGCCTGGAGCTGTTATAGAGTGGAATTAGTGGACTCCAACACTACAATTAGTTTCAGTTATTTATTAAAGTTTGTTTTCATAATAAATATGAAGGTATTTTTTTAAAGAGAAAGATGTACAAACCATATTTTGGAACTTTAAAAGATTTTGCACATTTTGAAAATAATAAAAAGTCATTACATGTAATTGAAAGGCTTTGGTTTGATGTCAATAATAGGTCTCGTTTTCTAACCAACCTAAAGAACAATCGAAGATTATCATAAATAATTCCTGCCTAGAAATAAAATGACTAATTTGGCTGGTAATACTTACATCCAGGGTACTTCCTGATTATGAGACGACGACACTCGTCATAAATGAAAATTAGAAGACTGAAAGGAAAGGCTGGGAACCACCAGCTTGCACTGCGATAGAATACAACCCGGAGATAAATAAACTAGAGGCAACACCAAGTAAAAAAACATGTAGGATATACTAAAAGATAATCGGTCATATAAGAGCGAATTCTGTAAACGAATAAATGGCTCATGTACTTACTTCAGTGGATACATACTAAGACCCTCTGATAATCCTGGAGTATAGGATAACATAACAGCAAGGAGTGTTTCAAACAACAAAGCGAAGTTCAGTGTATTGTTCCTGTGCATGAATGGGAATCTTTACTGAATTGTTTCCCTATTTCTATATAAATACGGCTATGAATTGCTACTTACGTCATTTTCTGGGTAAAAATCGAATTTTTCCTAGTTTTGCAGATGATTAAGTCAGCCCATTGTACTACCACAATACTGATAAAGAACGCTGTATGGCATGTGTACTCCAGGATTTTCCTCTGGTGGTATCCCTAACCACGTACAGATAATCATAAAGCAATGGAAGAAATAGATCGTAAAGCAATGCATGATGAACAATCTTATTTACCCATTCCTGGCCATAGCTGTCTAACATATTGTTATTCGACTTGTCCTGCCATTCGATTCGCGTAAAAAACAGTCTTGATGGGAAGAAACCATTCTCTCCCATGATAACGAAGTATGTGAAGAACCCAGCAAGTGCCTGTATGATACGCATTCGAATTGGGATAAATAAGAATTAGACGGATATTTTAATTTCTTTCTTTTAAAAAATTTCAAAGTAAACCTCACCTGGATGAATCCAATTTGTCCATATGTCATTGCAATCAGTCTAAATATAACGGTTCAGAACATTAGTTACATTGTAGAATGCAGGTGAATATGCCATTGCATGGTCCTTGTATCAAAGATTTCACGCAGCGCTCAATAGTTTCCCATAGTTGCAGACGTCTTATCGCCGCGCGGTTTTGAACAATATAAAATGTATCCTTAGGAGGCTAATGCATTGCCCCATATTAAAAACTTACCTTTCATTAACGAGTTTATCTTTCTTGGGGTCTCTTGGGAATCGCTTCATAATGTCACTTTCTGGAGCTTCATAAGCGAGTGAAATAGCAGGAACCTGGGTTCAAACATGAAATGCTTCCATCAATTATAAAGGTGTAGCCAAAAAGAGTCAAGAACATTAGTGACAGTGTTGATGGACTATTTACCATGTCAGTTCCGAGATCAATACACAAGATTGTAACTGTACCCAGTGGCTGAGGAATACCAACGAGGATAAACATTAAGAATGGAGTAATCTCGGGGATGTTACTCGTCAATGTATATGCAATAGACTTCTTTAAATTGTCAAAGATAAGTCGACCTAAAAACAGCAACTATTGTATTAGCCCTACTAAATCGTAACTTTTGAAAATTCAGTGATGGCTTCTATATACCTTCCTCCACCCCAGTGACAATGGAAGCAAAGTTGTCATCCAAAAGAATCATGTCAGCAGCTTGTTTAGACACATCAGAGCCAGCGATTCCCATAGCAACACCGATGTCAGCTTTCTTCAAAGCAGGAGAATCATTGACACCATCACCAGTTACTGCCACGATAGCACCATTACGCTGACAGCCTTCAACGATAATCAACTTCTGCTGAGGTGAGGTACGCGCAAATACAATCTCTGTGTGGTTTTTCAGTATGTCATCAAGTTCTTGTTTCTCAACATTCTAAAAGATGCGTGAATGATAACTAGTTGTAATTTCACATGGCTGTAAATCAATGAAAGAAAATTGAAATCTGTTGAACTGACAGTTACCTTAAGATCGCCACCATGGACAACAATTGCCTTAGCATCTCTAGGATTCACTTGTTCAACAGGAATCTTAAGTCTATTAGAGATGTCTTCAACCGTTTCACTTCCTAAAATCACGCCAACACTTTAGAAAACACTGTTATACTTCATAATTTTATCACTAGTATTCATACAAAAAGCCGAGCAATTTTTATACCTTCTGAAATGATCCCAACTCCTTGTGCAATAGCCTTGGCTGTGATTGGATGATCCCCAGTAACCATGATAACTTTGATACCAGCACTGCGGCATTTACTAACAGCATCAGGAACAGCAGCTCGTGGAGGATCAATCATCGACATCAGTCCAACAAAACATAGTCCAGTTAGGGGAAAATTCACCGGCTGGTTACATATTAAAAAGAAGAGGATGAAAAGAATTCCTGAGTAAAAGTCGAAACACAGGAAACACCATAGTTTAATATGACCATGCTCACCTCGTCAGTAATAAATTCAAATCCCGGTGGGTATTGTTCCTTATTTAAATAGAATTGACCAAACCCAAGAACACGTTCGCCCATACCTCCAAGGTTTAGATACGCTAGTTCGAAAGCTTCTCTCATATCCTCACCAAGATGTACTTCTTGCCCTTGTATCAAAATCGAAGAACATCGTTCAAGAACACGTTCAGGCGCTCCTTTTAACAGCAGTACATGACTGCAATCAGGTTTATTTGGGTCTTCCATTTCATGAATTGATACATGGTATTTATTGGACGAGTTGAAAGGAATCTCAGCTACCATAGGGTAGTTCTCTCTCATGTTCTTTACGTTACCAACTTGAAGCTCAACGCACTTTAAAAGTGCTGCTTCAGATGCGTTGCCTCCCATAGTGTCTCTGAAACAGTTGTCTCACATTTGAATAACAAACTATATGTTTTTCAAACACAATCTACTACAAATAGTAATATCTAACATCATGCATCAGGTCAGTAAAATTTGAACTGCGCATAAAAACGAGTTCCAAAACTTCTCAGCTATGTTGAGCGACAAGCTGAGAAGTTTTGGAAGTTGCTATACGTTGTGTGTATATTTTTTTTACCTCCTAAGGACTGGCATATTTTCTGTTCCAGGAACGAATTCTGCTCTGTTACACAACCCCGCAATGCGGCCAAGTGCATTCCAGGTGTCTGACTGAAATTGGAGTGGAAAATTGGCACGATTTCAATGCATTCTTAATAAAATGCATAATTAGCGCAGAAAGCACAGATACCTGAACCATTGTCTCTCCGCTTTGATCTTCAGTTGTGTCAGCCTCGACAATTTTATCATCAAACCACATGTGCGCTAGAAAAGATAAATTGTACTGAATTCTTGATGCAGTAGATTCACCCCTTATGGGTATATATCTTACCAACAGTCATCCTGTTTTGGGTAAGTGTACCAGTTTTGTCTGAACAAATGGTAGAAGTGCTGCCAAGGGTTTCCACAGCTTCAAGATTCTTTACCAAACAGTTTTTGGATGCCATACGCTTTGCAGTTAAAGTAAGACACACCTTGATAATCAAATATTTTGGACATTCAATATCGACTTCATTTCTTTCGTGACTAATACACTGTACGTTAAACTGCACTTCTCAGTTCTACGTTATTGTCAGAATCTTCTTACCGTTACTGTTGCTAAAAGACCTTCAGGCACATTCGCTACAATGATACCAATAAGGAAAATAACAGATTCAAGCAAGGAGTATTGTAAACCAAGGGAAATGGCAAAGAAAGTCAAACCCAAGACGACTGCAACTCCGGTGACAATATGGATGAAATGCTCGATTTCAATAGCAATTGGAGTTTTTCCAGTATCCAATCCACTTGCCAGGTTTGCTATACGTCCCATAACGGTGTTATCGCCTGTCTGGACGACTAGACCTGTGCAGGTGCCTTCAACCGCGTTTGTCGAAAAGAACGCCAGATTTTTTGTCTCTAGTGGATTTTCATGGGTGAATTCAGGGGTACGTGCTTGAGGTTCCGATTCTCCCGTGAGCGAAGAATTATCAACCTTAACAATGTAATAATAGTGATTGATTTAACACTAACACAATGATAACACCTTAAAGATGTTCAAACATCTTTGCGATAAGGCATCTTTGGTATATATCTTACAAATTTTGTAACATCATGGGATAAATGATAAAAATCGAATCTATGTAATCAAACCTTGAACCCCTTAGACTCCAAAATCCTGATATCTGCTGGAACCCTGTCTCCAATCGCAACAAATATGATGTCACCTACAACAACCTCCTCAGCATTTTTCTTCACTTTTGTCCCATCACGCAAAACCGTTGCTTCCTAAACAAAATGCACATAGTGCTATAGAAGAATTGTTACTTTGGAAGGTTTTTATTACTATGTACCTGGGGAACCATGTTCTTAAAACTTTCCATAATCTTGGAACTCTTGGACTCCTATACATGAATGAAATGAATGTATAATCATCTATGTTTCAAAAGAACAGGAAATGCTATAATGAAGTATATAATCCATTCATTTTTTGTTAGTGAAGCGCACTATCTGATGCGTACCTGATAATATGAAAAAATCCCAGTAATAATCACAACAATGGTAAGCGTTAGTCCAAGAGCCAACTAACAAGAAAGGAAATGAGCAAGTTAGTATATATGTACACAAACACAATTTATACTTTTTCTTTCCCATTAATTAGAACAAAAATCAGTTCTGTATCAAGAAATCTAGATGAAGCTTGATAGTGGAGCTAAAGGACTTACATCATCTTTAGAAGGTTCTTCTTCCGTGGAAACTTTGATGATATAGGTGATGAAACAAAGTATTCCACCAAACCATAGCAATAATGAGAACCCACCAAATAGCAGTCGACAAAACTTCACCCATTCTGGAACAGTTGGGGGTGGAGTGAGGCAGTTACGTCCATCTCTCTCCAATCTAAAATCTGCTTCTTTTTGTGAAATACCCTAGATGGACAACAGACAACATCATTAAAGTGAGAGTAATCTAAAATCAAAATAATTAAGTCACAGGTTATATCTCTTATATCATTGATTTTTATACTTACTTTAGCTATGCTAGTACCCAGTCGACTTAGGATCTCCTCAGTGGAACAGATGTGCCAATCCTTTTAAATGAAGAAGGAGAACATTTTTGGGGATTTGCTTTTGTTTCCTCCTTTCCCACTAAAAACTACGTCTACCGCATGAGTTGAAAACACTTTTATTTTACATTTATTTTTTCAGCAATTATGAACAGAAATAACAATTTTTTTTTGTATTCTCATGAGCATGCTTTCCTTGGTTCAAACGCACAAAAATCTCCTATCGCAGTGTGAAACTTCCCTTAAACAAGCACTGCCACTTTTTTTGTCTCCACTTTTACACTCCATGACTATTTTAGTAGTGTCTTTATAAGCTATAATTGCAATAGTCTAGGCCAATTTAAGCTTACCACTTCCAGTTCTTGTTTCAAGTCATCGAGATTTTTAGTTTTCTTTTTCGGACCTGCTTTCTGGGTAACATCCTAAAAACGAGACATTTGGGTGGCTTTTCTTGGGTGCATGTAGTACACGTCACTTCAAAGGTTGAAAAATAGGACTTCACTTACTTTACTCTGCCTTCTTGATTCACCTGCTTCAACTCCGATGTCTTCAAGATTAACAGCTTTTGTGGCCATACCAAACTGACGATTAACAACTAATGAATACAATGACGGGAGTTCATAAAGAATGAAAACAATTTTTTACAATGAAGAGATTTCCATTTTGCCAATATTGAAATTTTGAAAACTATTTCTTTGGCCTTGTTTAACTTTAACATTGTCTAATGAAAACTCACTCTGCTATGAAAAAGCGACTCCCAATTAAAAGTCAAATGACCACTTTGCTGTACTGTGTAACAGCGCTTTTCAGTCAGGGAAAAAATATAAACTTTATGAGTTACCTTTCTGGACCTTTCTGTTGAATCTGTAAAGTCACGAAAAGTGAAGACGCGTCATCRTTTTCTTTCCCGCCGAAAAAAAGATCCTGAAATTGATTTCCGCTGAATGGAAAAAGTGCGGGCTCTGGGTATGAAAGCAACTGGTAGCCGAGCCTGCATGCATGCTCTATTATCCCCAGAGGTTGTCTGCTGTTTTTATGCTTTAGTGCGATTTAAAAAAAACATCACCTTTCTTTTTGAAATAGTATTGCCTCGAATCATACAACTGTAGGAATGTCGGTTATTTTGATTCGCAGCAAATACCCAACACGCGGCCCAGTGAAACTTTGATTCATTTCCAGATTTGCAGCGGGCTGTATCTAAGGTAGGCTCATATAAGCTCACTCCTACTATGAAATCTGCAATCTTAATATATAAATTAGATAAAGATAGGTCTAACAACAAACTTAAATATTTCCAGGTTAAAATTGAAATATAGAATATGACTGACAATCACATGATACGTGGCGAGTCAAAGTCAACAAACATACCCGAGCTGGTTGTATTAGCAGTGAAAAGCTACAATCCAGTTAAAGACGATATTATTGAAGAAGTAGATATAGAAAATACAGAGCCGCAGTTATCAGAACAGTTGATAGTGAAGAAAGGCCAGAGATACACGGTTCAAGGATCAGTGGATTGGTGGTTATTTGTCAAATGTGATGAAAGTGGGAAACTGGGATATATTCCAAGTACTTACGTTGTTCCATTGAGAAAAGATCTTGATCCAACCGAGTATGTTTAATTTGAATTACTTCTTTAGTGTCTTCATATGAAACTTATCATTCCTTCGCCTATCTCTTTTGTGTTCTATTCCATTCATCCAATTCATCCATCCATTTATTTTTAAATCCCTAAATATTTTCCATACTCAGCCATGTAACAATCAACAATTATTTTATAGACCAATTGACTTTAGCCATGGCAATGTAATATCAATATCAATGATAGAAACCAGTGTAGACTTGAAGTACTTCCCTTCTGCAAGTGCAGGGCAGGATAGTAGGGTTAGTACACAACATTTGATTTATCATAGTAAGGAAACATCACTGATTGTATTTGTTCTACATTTACAGAAACCATGTCCTGAAGATAGTGCTAATATATTTTCAAAGCTGACATTTTGGTGGTTAAATGGGTATGGAATAATCATTTAATGACTAAAACAATTCAGACAAATTATTAACTCATCACCCAAATAATTCTAGGTTGGTCTATAAAGGGTTTAAACGCCCCCTTCTGGATAGTGACATGTGGGCATTAAGGAAGGCCAATAGATGTTCAAACATTGCTCCTACTGTTGCATTAAAATGGACTCATGTCATGGATAATTGCAGGAAAAAACATTCTAACCAAGAGATATCCAATGGGTAAGTTGGGCTAGACCGTTAATGATATTATAGCTATGAAAATCCTCTTAATATTAACAACCGTTCATAATTGTTATTGAAGACTATCTAAAGAAGACTATCTAGAGAAGTGCTGAACTTATTATTGATGTTGATTCAAGACCATGTGATTATCATACAATACATAGAGCTGATTTCCTAAGATTGTGACGCCATGCTGAACTCTAGTTGTAATCTTTTCTCAATTCAATATTTTGCATGGCATCACTACCACGCAAGGTTTCATGACAATATCATTTGTTGTTTTGCACAATGATATGAAATCTTCTCTAGTAGTGGATGCATACAAGTTTAGTTACCAATGATGTACTAGGGAATTTAATTTGAACATGGGCAATCATACAGTATATATTTTGGATATCTTATTGATCCATAATCATTTATGTTTACATGGTAGAGTTGCTCATACACAAGAAGCTGAAACTAATGAAGACCTGGATGCAATACAAACAGATGATCAACAAAAAGTAGAATTTGTCCCAAAGAAAAAGGAAGCAAAGAAAAAATACAAAGGGCCTTCACTTATAAAGATTTTGTTTTCCATTTATTGGAAGCGTTTCCTTTTAGTTGCATGTTTAAAGTTGGTTCATGATATCTGTCTATTTATACACCCAAAGATGCTCGAGTAAGTAGGTCTTAAATCTAGTGTTCATGGAATAAATAAAAATTCATTATATTATAACTATTTAATGATGTACTAATGATGAACTTGTTAAAATCAGTTACTTGATAATGTTCTCTGAAGAGAAGSATGATCCTTCAACAAGATGGAAAGGCTACATGTATTGTTTGGCTATATTTGGCACAGCAATAGTCCAGTCATTTTGTCTTCATCAGTATTTTCATAAGATTCTTACAGTTGGAATGAACTTAAGGACAGCTATAATAGGCATGGTGTACCCTAAGGTATATAAAACAATGTACAGTGTTTTGTTGAATGAAGCATACTGTAACTGTTAAGTAACTCATTCTATTTCCCAGTCATTCATTCATTCATCAAATCATCCATCCATTTATTAACAGCCAGCAAGCCATGAAATGAAATCCTGTTCATTGGTCTGTTTGTTGCCTATTCATCAATGTTTGCATGTTTTCCCAGGCTCTCAGGATTAACAATGCATCAAGGAATAAATCAACAGCTGGTGAAATGGTTAATTTAATGACAACTGATGCCCAAAGAATCATGGATCTTATGGTTTATTTGAATACCATATGGTCAGGACCATTCCAGATTATTGTTGCTTTGTACTTTCTGTATGATACAATGGGTTTGTCCATCTTGGCTGGTGTAGCTGTCATGCTATTGTTAATTCCAATCAATCTGATATTTTCCAAAGTATTGAAAAAACTACAGGTTAGTAAGAAATTCAGGAGATATGATTATCTACAGTTTAAAGACATTGAATTAGACTATTTGCTAAGAGCAGGACTTTGTTATGTTTCAACTGGAGTAAAACTCACTATTAGTTTCACTAAGTGACAGTAACTGACATTTTGTATCATATAGGTGGATATCATGTCTAAAACTGACAGTCGTCTTAAGCTCATCAATGAGATGTTGAATGGCATCAAGGTAATGTATTATAGTGTAGGAATCAATACAAGACACAGGCCATCATAACTTCTTTTTTGTTTATATCACCATAGGTGCTTAAGCTGTATGCTTGGGAAGAATCAATGCATCAAAAAATCATGGAAATAAGAGGCTCTGAACTAAAACGCATTAGAAGTTCCATGCTAGTCAACTCCTGCTTTCAGTTCACTTTTACATGTGCTCCTTTCATTGTAAGTCAAAGATTTCTAACAATATTAATTACATTATGACTACTAAAATACACTAAATAAAATATTATACCCAGAACCATCTCAGTTAAGAAGGCTCTGGTAAGAGAGCATATCTGAATACCATATTGACAGATTTTAAAACTACCTAAAGCTTCATATGAATGAAATGCAAAAACGATTATCTGTCACATATATACTTATACCAAAAAATTGCCATTTTCATACTATTAATGATATAACACAGAACCAATGAAATGGAAAGCTCATTTCTCTTTTCTCTTGTATTTATGATCGATTTGTACTTTCAGGTTTCTCTTGCTACCTTTGCTATTTATGTCATGACGGGTAATGTCTTGACAGCAAACAAGGCCTTTGTAGCTCTTGCACTGTTTCAAATACTGCGTTTTCCTCTAGTTGTGTTTCCAAACATCATCATGTCCATAATCCAGGTAGGCTTATGAAAGACATTACTGATTGCATTGTATATCACAGAAAGGTAAAACTAACTGGAATATATTTTTTGTATTTCTGTCAGGCACGTGTTTCCATTGCTCGGCTCGAGAATTTTCTAAGTCTTGATGAAATTGATGAAAAAAATGTCATCCGAAGTATGCCAGAACAGTGTAAGTACATGTACATAGTGGTGGATGACATTTCTATGTGTTGTTTGTACTCCAAATGTATACTGCAACAAATATTCATCAATGATATGTTGTATTTGCAGTTGCCTCACAAGCTATTCATGTAGAAGACTGCACAGTTTCATGGGACAAAAAGGATGCTCCCATTTTGAAAAAGTATGTATAAGAGAATTGATTCATTACCTATCTAATTATTTTTATTCTATATTCATTTTCTTGTTTTATTTACTCTTTGTAACTCTAGTATTGTTTGTTTTTAGTATCAACCTAAACATTCCTACAGGCTCGCTAGTAGCAGTTGTAGGACAAGTCGGCTGTGGAAAATCTACTCTTTTGTCAGCTTTACTGGGTGACACTGAGCGACTAGGAGGGAGTGTCTATTTAAAGGTATTGCTTTTTTGATTGATGGATTTTTTAACCTATTGAGTGAGTTGATGTCTGTTTCATTGTAGGGCTCTGTTGCATACGTACCTCAACAAGCTTGGATCCAGAATGCAACGCTGCGTGATAACATCTTGTTTAGTAGAGGATATGATCGTCGGCACTTCAAACAAACTGTACACAATTGTGCCTTACAGACTGACCTTGACCTTCTGCCGGCTGGAGAGATGACAGAAATTGGAGAAAAGGTAATTACTTTAATTGCAGCCGTGGAATTGTTATGGTACACGTAATTTGAGTAGGAAAATCGTTTGTGTTGTATAGTGGTCAGGAATGTTCACTATTAAGCAAAGAGATATTCAGTTCTTACTATTGTATTTAGTAATGTTTTTCAATTAGGAAATCAATCCTATGTTCACATTCTAGGGAATCAATCTTAGCGGTGGTCAGAAACAGCGTGTTAACTTAGCAAGAGCTGTGTATTTTAATGCTGATGTGTATTTACTGGATGATCCATTGAGTGCTGTCGACTCACATGTTGGTAAACATATCTTTGATAAAGTCATTGGTCCAAGAGGARTTCTTCAGGGCAAGGTATTGTGTTTTGTAGTGGGATTTGATTTAACTTCTTTAGTTTTTCTAATATAATATTTTATGTGTTAGACACGCATTCTTGTAACCCATGCAGTTCATTTCCTGCCGCAAGTTGATCAGATTGTTGTCCTCCAAGGGGGACGTATTTCAGAAGTGAGTCATTGTACATATATATTTTATGTAGTTTAATGATTTTTTTATGTCATTGATTTGTTCATTTATTTATTTATTTATTTATTAGGTTCAGTAATTTTTTTATTTATCAATTCATCCATTTGTCACTCAAATGAAATTTTATTGTTTCGTTACTGATTAATCTCATTTTCATTGTAAAGTCTTTGTTATTTATCAATAAGATGATCCCCTGATAAACCTCTATCCACTGAATCGTTGGTTGTATCATAACTATGGTTGTATCCACATATACATGGTTAGGCTTCAATCCTTTCATAGTTGATAGTTAATGTATGGTTTATTGCGTGTTGTAGGTAGGAACTTATGATGAGTTACAATAGTTGATAGTTAATGTATGGTTTATTGCATGTTGTAGGTAGGAACTTATGATGAGTTACAATCCAATCAAGGTGCATTTGCCGAGTTCCTGAAGACATATGCAAATGAAAAGCAATTTGAAGACAATGAAGGTAGCTATTTATACGTACTTCAAAGACAACAACCAACCTTGGTGCTTGAGATTCCATATTTATTTACTTTAATGATGCCTCTCGTTGCTATGATAGAGTCAAGCCATGATRACAAAACAGCGAGCTCAGAGAACCTTGATGAAATCCACGTCAAGGATGTTCCTAGTAGATGTAAATCAGATACCGTCAGTACAACAACTGAAACAAGTGAGGAGGGTATGGAAATTCGGAAAGTTATTGAAGAAGAAACGTCTGAGATTGGAAGAGTACGTACCTTTCTATTTGATCTGTTTTTGTCAAATAAGAGTTAGAAGGATAAACGATTTAGTAAAGAGGAAAGTATAATAAATAAATGAATAATGAATAGATGGATGGGAGAAATCGAAATATCACGCTTCAAAGGTCAGCTGACCATGATAGTCAACGATGTTTAATTACCAATTTTTCACAAGTTACAGTCATAATATCAATATTTTGTTAGAATTGATGCATTATTCACTCAACTGTGTATATATTCCTTGTCATTTTTAGGTAAAACTATCTGTTTACTTAAACTATGCAAAGGCAATGGGATTGATATTTTTTCTGTTGGTTGTGCTGTTTACAAGCCTTTCTGAAGGATCTCTTGTTGCGTCCAAGATTTGGTTGGCTCACTGGAGCTCAATAAATGTCACGACAGACAAGGACAGAGAATTTTATCTAGGAATGTATGGTGGCTTTGGTCTCTATCAAGCCTTCTTTATACTTATCTCAAGTTTGGTGATGGCCTATGGTTCATATATAGCATCAAGAGCTTTACATGATCTCTTGCTCTGTAAATTACTACGTTATCCCATGTCATTCTTTGAGAGTACCCCTCAGGGGAGAATTGTGAATCGGTTTTCTAAGGACATGTTTGTGATCGACGATACACTTCCAAGGATTCTGTCATCGTTTTTTAGGTGTTTTATTGAGGTTATGAGTTCTATTTTCGTCATTTCATATGCTACGCCTTTCTTTATCATCGTGGTGGTTCCTTTGGCTGCGTTCTATTTGTTCATACAGGTATTGTCTTTTTATTGGTTGTTTTGCAAATTTTGATTTAAGTTGATTCATTAGTTGGGTGGTCTGTCTAAGGTAGTAATTATTTGGTTCTTTTGTAAGTGGGGTAATTGGTTGGTTTGTTAGTTGTGGCACTTGGATGACAGTGTGTGAGAGGGTGTGCKTACCCTAAATGTCTGTATATTCTTTCAGCGATTATACGTTGCATCGTCACGTCAACTACGGCGAATCGAATCCGTGAGTCGTTCCCCAATCTACAACAATTTCTTGGAGACAATCAACGGTGTTAGTACAATTAGAGCGTATTCACAGCAGCAACATTTTGTTCGTGGCAATCAGTTTAGAGTGGACGAAAACCAAGTGGCGTACTACCCTTACATCGCGTCAAACAGGTGATGTCACGTGTTGCCAATATACCGATTATGGCGGGATGTTTCTGAAAACKGAGACTTGTTTTAAGTAGCATAAAATAATCTTTATCAATACCAAATGTACAATAAATGATATAATTAATGATCAGTTCAAGCTTTTGGATCGTCTTTACCATTCATGCATTCATTCGCACATTCATTCGCACATCCACCCATTCATTTTGGTTAATCCCTTCCCGTTGCATTACTGATCACGGTTCTATCTTGCGTTCAGATGGTTGGCTGTTCGACTAGAGCTTGTTGGTAATCTAGTAGTACTATTTGCAGCAATATTTGCTGTGTCCAAACGAGGTGACATAGAAAGTGGACTTGTTGGTCTTTCTTTGACTCAGGCAATGAAGGTAATAAGAAAAATGATTTGCATTTGTAAACTAATATTTCAACGTTATTATAAATCAAAACACTCAATAACAAGCAATTTGTTAAGAGTAAATATTCATTTAATGTATATGGTAACTGTAACATACTCGCGATTTATAGATAACGCAAACCCTGAATTGGATGGTACGCATGTCAAGTGAACTGGAAACCAACGTCGTTGCTGTGGAGCGTGTGAAGGAATACAGTGAGATATCTACCGAGGTAATCGTTTCCTGGAAAAAATTCTTCATCTCTAAAAGTAACCTCGAACCTTTGTCGTGTTGAAAATATATGAAAATGATAAAATGTTTTGCATTAAAAAAAATCCTTTCGAAGGGATTAGCAATGAATGCATAAAATGTTTCTATTTGGTAATAATGAATGTTTCAGAAAGGCCACCAAGTTTTTCAGGTCAATTTTGATTTATTGACAGGCTGAGTGGATAATTGATGATAATCGTCCACCTGAAGACTGGCCAGCAACAGGAAACATAGCCATAGACAACTTTGACTTACGATATCGTGATAACCTGCCTCTCGTCCTTAAAAACATCAACTGCGACATCAAGCCTGGAGAAAAGGTACTGACTTCGTACTCGCATGCAGCGTTCAAAGGTTATCAGCTGCTAATTACAATTGCTATAATAATCTTAGATTGGAATCGTTGGCCGTACAGGAGCTGGAAAATCCTCACTGTCCCTGGCTATATTTCGCGTTCTAGAAAGTTGTGGTGGTAAAATTGTAGTCGATGGTATCGACATCTCGAAGATCGGTCTACACGACTTACGATCCCGACTTACAATTATTCCTCAGGTAATCCAAGTAAAAGTTACATAACATGGACGTCACGCCCATTCTTTCGACTCATACAAAATTTGAATTTACTCCATTTATAGCTATTTATGAGTGCGTGTTTATGATATCAGGATCCAGTGTTGTTTTCTGGAAGTCTACGTTTCAACCTCGATCCTTTTGACAAGCACACCGATGAAGAGCTGTGGAACGTCTTGGAAATCAGCCATCTTAAACAGTTTGTGTCTGGTCTTGCAGAAGGACTACAGCACGCAGTTACAGAAGGAGGAGAGAATCTCAGGTATTCDTGTTGATTCACGAATATATGKTRAAATGTACTTTATGGTTCRTATGATGACACTGKTCATGYATTTTGCAGTGTTGGTCAGCGTCAGCTCGTATGTCTAGCACGCGCTCTTCTAAGGAAAAGTAAAGTGTTGGTCCTTGACGAGGCCACTGCAGCGGTGGAYCTCGAAACTGATGAACTAATCCAAAACACAATAAGAACAGARTTTGCAGATCGAACCACGTTGACAATCGCTCATCGATTGAACACCATTATGGATTATTCACGGTAAGTCCATTGGCAGTCGAATCGTATCCAACATTAATCAGGCCCATAATGCTTGTTATTTTCCATGATTTCCAGGATCCTGGTGATGGATAAAGGTTTCGCAATGKAGTTTGATAGCCCGTCTAATCTACTGGAGAAAAGAGGGATGTTTTATAGTATGGCTAAAGATGCTGGCCTAGTTTAAACGAGGCAGTCATTACAGTCTTTGTGTTGAACTTGAACGAGTGAGAGTGAACACAGTATTTAGCCATTTCCTTGGCAGGGGCTCTGGGATTAAGAACATCTTTCAAGGATTTGTTGATACAAATGTATCAATAACAAGTAAAAGAGCAATCTCAGACCATATCAGTAAAGCAGCTAATAGAGTTTGTACTTTACTTAATGTGCATTCCATGTGGGATGACAAACGCGTTTTGTTAAGTGATTCGCGCATGACCAGATGCCACATTTATCTCAAAACGTAAATTTACAGTCATTTCCCCCAAAATCTAAAGGGTTTCAGTTTCAACTGGCGCTGGAGTGTTTTTAGTTTAGACTCAAGAGAGTGTTTTATCGGGAATAAAGACATATACAATAGAAGTCTATCGTTATACATATTTTTTGTTATTCCTTTAAAAAGGCATCTGACGAGATGTGAATGAAAAAAAATATTTAATATAACATGAAATTTTGTCGTTTAATGCAGTATATTTAGTTTCAAATGTATCTCTACAAGTTATTTATCAATTTGTTATTAGTAATATATTAAGGTATTGTAGTTTTTTATGGGATTTATGATATTAGTAATATATTACAGTTTTATTACAGTATGTATGATTTAATGGTATCTATCAACCAAAGTTGTTTTTTTCTCATTCTAATTTATTATCGTATTATTATCAAGATACAAATAAAACCTGATACTATCGTGTGTTGAGTACTGAGTACAAAAACGAGTAATAGCGATATTTGTACGACCTCGGAGTCTAAAAAGCTCTTACTATGTCACGCTGAAAATCTGCCAGCAGACTTACTTKCCTGTGAACCAAAACGGTAAGAAAATAAGTGGGTACTCATCATGATAATGCACCTTAATGACTCCTACAGGATGACAGGTGCAGAACTATTGTTCTTGATAGCAAGGGATAACAGCATTACGCCATGTAATAACCTCGCGTCTGATTTTTCGATGTCATGTCATCTGGATTGCAGGTCACGGCTCAAAAGTGCTGCAGTTATTATACTCGCGTGCTCCAATCTGATATCGCGCGTACTGGTTCTTGAATTCACATTTTAAATGTATCCAAGGGAGTGGATTATAAGCAAGGTACAAATAAAGTCTATGGTTTTTTTTGYTTGTTTTTCTGTTCTACAAGAATTTAGCCAGGAAAAGAGATTGCTTGTTTTAAATTATTCTGAGGTTGCTTCTTTTTAAGTGACCGAATCTGTAGTCCATTGTCTCAAGTTCACTGAACCGTTCCAAGTTTTGCAATTAATTACAAAGGTAAAGGTGTTAGAAAGTGTGTTACCGACGGGGGTCATCAGCTTAGGAGGCGAGGGTCAGGTTTGTTCGTTCGTAATATGTTATTATATACCTTTCTCAAAAAAGTTTTGCAAAGCCTAAAGATTGCGCGAAACACTAGTGCATGGTTGCACGTTCTGGTGTGCTACAAGCCGCGATCAATGACTAAAATCGAAAGCAACTGACACTGACTTCGATGGTGGCAACAATTATAATAATTGTCTCGAGTATTTGTTTGAATTCAGTTACTGGAATATTTTCGATCGTTGGCCTTAGATTAGATTTAGTGAGTTATTTTTCCTCTAAATTAATGTAGTTTTTTTTGTATTCATTTATCGTATTCTCTGATTTGCCGCCATAGCATGGCAGTGAAGTTGTTTATTAATGGCGGTGGTGATCGAAGTACAATGCTCGGCTTTACTGTAAAATATTTAATTTAAGCTATTTCATTTAGCTTGATCGCGTTTCCTAGAAGCTAGCGGTAAAAATATTTTTAGGTTGCAACATATCGTTTTTCTCTTTACTTAATTAAGGTGTTTATCGAGTGAAACATCATCGCACTTCAAACATGAGTGATGCAGAACACGAGGACGAGGAGAAAGAGCTGGTTCTATGCACAAGGGACAAAGACAAAACTCATGATCTAGTTGTCATAGTACTTCGTAGTTACTATCCTGAGCTAAACAATGATCTTGAGTTAGAGGAACTGACCCAAACAGCCCCAGAACAGTCAGTACAGTTGTTGGCAAAGAGAGGCAAAAAGTTTGTGGTACTGGGACCGGTAGGGTGGTGGTTGTATGTCAGAAAGTTTGGCGAGGATGACACTGGTTATATACCAAGTACACATGTTGCACCGATCACTGATGACTTGAGTTGCGATGAGTAAGAATGAATTTCTGTCTGCAATTTTAAGTGTTCTTTTACTTGTTTTGTCATTGTGATGTCATGATCCAACATTGCTAAAGATGTTTATAAAATTTAACGTCCCCCAATCATAAATAGCAATAGAAATCTAATCTAAGTGATTATGAGTATGGGACCTTMTAGTAGGCCTGGGGAGAGGGAAGGAAAAACAAAATTCTCAATTATCAGCCGATCCAAAAATCCTCAAGAAATTGGAATTATTATTCTTCCCCTGCACAAAGCCCTGTATCAGCCTCCAGCTAACTGCATGACAATSATTATTTTGTAGTGAATTAGAATTGAATCGAGGTGGCCAGTTATCCCCAGAGATGGTTAATCATAATGTTGACCTAAAGTTCTTTCCGCTTGCTCCTGTTGAGAAAGACCTGCTAAACAGGGTAAACCTAGATAATCATTGCYTTCAAGAGATTGCATAGGATTAACATATTAAGACTAACAGAGTCATAGGGTCAAAGATCCTTCACACTGCCTCATGTCACATCTAYGTACTGCACTAGCAGTTAAAAGAGAACACATTTTTTTCTCCTAGTCATAATTCCTGTGCATACAGTCCAACATTGTTAGTGCAACATCTTCCATGTCCTTGTAGATAGACCATTTGTTCTGAACATATACGGTAGTAMATTTTCACAAGAATCTACTTCCTTCTYTGGTGAACCTGCCAAACAGAGTGACAATATTATTTTGTGTTGCTATGTTTGTTGCCCATATACAAAGCTTCAAGTAGAATACCCACAACAATGTCAGATCAKAAATATTTAGCTAACATAAACTATTTTCTTTGCAGGATCCCTCTCCAGAAGATTCTGCCAACATCTTTTCCAAACTGACATTTTGGTGGTTGAACTGGTAATTTTAAATCATTTGCAGATCTGTATTGCAGTCAATCTCTGCCTTGATGACACCTTACTAAAAATTAAATAAAATTCCTGACAGTAACTTATTTGATATTACAAACTTCTGCCATTTGAAACAAGTGTATGCCTCCAAATAAAACAATCTATTATGAAGTGCCAGTTATAAGTACATATTCATGTACTCATTATCTTTATTTCATGCTTTAGGCTGATACGTGTTGGTCATAAGAGACCTCTAGAAGACAAAGACCTTTGGGCATTACCAAAATCCATGAAATCATCTCAGCTTGTACCTAMACTTGAAAGTCGTTGGCATAAGGAACTACAAAGATTTTCCTGCAAAAACTGTGAACGYCATAAATGCCTTTGCAAAAACTCCCAAATGTAAGCTTATTTGTCTAGTTTGCTTATTTATTGCTGAGTCTGAGATGGAAAGTTAATAAAAGTCCTTGTTTTCTGAATTTAACTTCAATCTGYAGAAGTGAAGTACAAGAAACTTGTAAAAAGGAGGAAGCTAAACCAGCCAATGATTCTGTGGAAAGCCCTGAAGCAGATGAGCAAGATGTAGCTGATCAAGAAAAKGTTGAATTTGTTCCAAAGAAAAATGAAAAAGTAGACAAAAAAGAAAAGAATTTACCTCAACCTTCATTGATCAAAGTGATGTTCTTGATGTTTTGGAAGCAGTTTCTTTTGGGAGGATTTCTAAAACTTCTTCAAGATATGCTGCAATTTGTGCAGCCAATTGTACTAGGGTAAGATGACTACATACATTACAACTACCTGTCACCATGGAAGAAAATTGATCTTGCTTAAAATGCATTAATATTGTCTTGATTGTTGACTAAATCATTTTGAATTGATTAAAATATCATCTGCAGGATGCTCATGAAATACATTGAAGGAAATGACTCGGGGGAAGTTTGGAGAGGATATGTGTTTGCTGTGGTAATGTTCAGTGCTGCAGTAGTACAGTCATTGCTTATTCAACAATATTTCCATGTCATGTTAACCATTGGTGCAAAACTCAAGACAGCTGTTACTGGCATGGTTTACACCAAAGTAGGTGAACCTAAATCAAGGTTTATAGTATGAGAAGCCATGTTGTATGTTGAACTATTTCAAGTCACATGTGAGTAACAGAAAAACTGGTTTCTTTTGCAGGCATTAAAGCTCAATAATGCATCTCGTGGGACTTCTACTGCTGGTGATATGGTCAATCTTATGTCTGTAGATGCTCAAAGGGTGAACGATGTGTGTTCTTACATTCAAGTCTTGTGGTCAGCACCACTTCAGATCATCATATCTTTGTATTTACTGTATGACACAATGGGTGTGGCTACTTTAGCTGGTGTAGTAGTCATGGTTCTTTTGATTCCTTTGAACTTCTATGTTGGTAAAGCCGCAAGGTCATTRCAGGTGAAAATTAACTTGCTTTCTCTATATACATCATCTTATCCTTGTTTTGTCCCATCCATTTATCTATTCTATTTAATATTTGAAAGCTGTTTTATCATCTACCTGTTTAATTGTATTATCAGTTGCTCACTAATTCACTCATTACTGTTCAWTAGGTGAAACAAATGGCTGAGAAAGATTTGCGTATCAGAATCATGAACGAAATTCTRAATGGAATAAAGGTAAAAATGACATTTTATGCATCCTTGTGAATCGCTAATAAGATTATGCTTTTGATACTTTAATTTCTKTACCAAGGTTTTAAAGCTGTATGCCTGGGARGAGTCATTCCTTGCCAAGGTGTCAGGCATCAGAACRCAGGAGTTGAAGCATCTCAAGAAGGCAAAGCACCTTAATGCAGCATTCTCATTCACGTTCACTTGTGCACCATTCCTGGTATGTATTGCATCATGTTTTCAACATGGTTGACCCCAAGCACAATCCAACCAGTTTTACATTTGTTTCTTTTTTACAGGTTTCTCTGGCAACCTTTGCTATTTTTGTCCTGACTGGTAATGAACTGACAGCACAAAAAGCTTTTGTTGCTTTATCCATATTCAACATTCTTCGTTTTCCTCTGACAATCCTTCCTAATGTAATAGCAAGCCTTGTGCAGGTAAACTAGTTTTGTGARAAGTAATAATTTATAAAAAGTCAATTGGCAATTTATGCTTTTTATGATACAGTATCCTAATAAAACTATTATTTTTTTGCCACCCAGCGATAAAGTTGGAACCACACACACGTGGCAATGGTGTTATTCAACTTCTAGAAATGCTGACTAATTTCATGTTTTGCTCTCTTTTATGAAGGCATTGGTTTCTGTGAAAAGACTGTCTAACTATTTGTGCCTAGATGAACTAAAGCCAGAAAATGTTCAAAGGACCATGCCATTAAACTGTAAGTTTAATCATGAATTGAACTGTATTTTATCACTGGAGATGTTGAGATGGTGATTTCTTTCAATTTTGTTGACTTGTCATCTTGCTTTACCAGATGCAAACCAGTCAATACATGTTGAAAATGCTAGTTTTGTATGGAATTATGGAGACAATGCAACATTGACCAAGTAAGTTTTACAGTAAAAAAAGCACCAAAATTATCTATTTTAAACRTTTCAGGTATAGCCCTTCCTTGGAAATGATTGGACTTTTGCACACATTTACACAAACCACAAGTTTTACAACTCCTTGTTTATTTATCTGGACCTGTATATTTCTGGCTTGTTTGTCTGTTTTTATATCTTCAACCTAATATACACAGTGGTTTGTTGAGTAATTTCTTTTATTTCTTTCCCTTTTCTTTGTCAACAGTATCAACCTAAACATTCCTACAGGCTCGCTAGTAGCAGTTGTAGGACAAGTCGGTTGTGGAAAATCTACTCTTTTGTCAGCTTTACTGGGTGAGACAGAGAAGTTGRGCGGGGAGGTTTACGTACAGGTAAAGATTACTTAATTCTGTTGGTGGAACAAAATTACTGTATATATGGTGCATTACACATTTACTAATTAATATAAATTCCTTTTTTACGATTCAATGTCAGGGTTCAGTTGCCTACGTGCCTCAGCAAGCTTGGATCCAAAACGCAACTTTACGTGATAACATAATCTTTGGACGAAACTTTGAATCAAAGCGTTATCACAAAACTGTCAAGGCTAGTGCCCTTGAGACTGACTTTGATATCCTGCCCGGAGGAGATATGACTGAAATAGGGGAAAGGGTAAGAGACTAACTGAATGGCAGGGACTTCTAGTCTACTAACTGTTCAAATCTAAGGCTCATTTCTTGATACATTTTCGCTCTAGGGAATCAATCTTAGCGGTGGTCAGAAACAGCGTGTTAACTTAGCAAGAGCTGTGTATTTTAATGCTGATGTGTATTTACTGGATGATCCATTGAGTGCTGTCGACTCACATGTTGGTAAACATATCTTTGATAAAGTCATTGGTCCAAGAGGAAAGCTACGGCATAAGGTAATGAYAATCCGAATTTCAGATATCAGTTCTGCTATTTTTGAGTCATGTCCGGTCTCTGAGCTCTCCTAATGGTWAA